TGAGTGTTTAGCAGTCCTGGGCTTCTACTCCCTCTCTGCTGTTTCTCTTCCTCCCACCTGTGAGCTGGGGTGAAGGGAGGGCTTGGGTTCCGCCACATCGCAGCTTTACTACTATACCCTTTTCTGTGAAGTTGTCTCTTTTGCCCAGATATAGGCAGTCTATTCTGCAGTCTTTGGGTTGCTCTTTCAGGATTAGTTGTATTTGATGTATTTTCATGTTATATGTGGCTTTGGGAGGAGGTTTTTGCCTCATCAAGACACCATCTTTTTCCCCCTCCTCCAAGTTGCCCCTTTTTAATTGCTTTAAAGTAAGGTAGGAAAAGAATGACAGGACTAAGACACTAAGAGAATAAGGGAGACACAATTAAATATCATCAGAAATAAAGCTTGGAATTGCAAATATGAAAAGTCAGCCTTGGGCAACAACAATAGCTGGAGGAGTAGGTGAAAAATGCTTGAAGAAAAGACTGGTGAGAAATGAATGACACTTTCATAATTTGGCCATTCCCCTTTGACTCTTGTGGGCATCCCTTAGCACTATATACCTCTTCAGATGTATCTAATAGGGATGCATTTTGGTAGATGTGTTTCACAGTACATACAGAGAATGTTATGCTCAGTTTTAGCAGGTGATTTGCTAATGTCACGTATAACCACTGGTAGAGGATAATATGTCACCGTGGATCCATGAGTTATAGTTGGACTATTGCTGTTCACTTCACATTTTAGAGTTAACATGGGGGTACCACTTGTTCATATCATACTTTCTTTTTCCAAATACCTTCCTCAAACCAGAACATGCTTCTGGATCAAATGGCTACTGGGCCATGGATTACCACCAGCATCTTTACGTTCTGAGGCTGCATTGTAAATCCTGAGTATACTGAGCAAGGCCAGGGCTTGGCCTTCCATTTTCTAATCTCCCATTTGACTACCGTAATTAATACTTAGCTGACAGCCCTTGATGTTCCTCTGGCAGTTTGATCCTTTTAGGGATAAAATGTATCTACCCTTAACACTATCAAATATATCAGCAGTACAGGTCCTGTTGCTTGAAGAAAATGACTACCTGATAAAACATTTATATCCAAGATTTCTGGCTGACTGGTATGTGGTCAGGTCTTATCACGATATTTGATGATACATTGTCAGTTTATAAGTGTAATGTAATGTCATATTGAGAGTTTACTACTGTGTAAATATGAAAAAGTAGGTGCTCTCCAGCAAATCAAGCTTACAAAGAAGCCGTACTAAAATATTCTTCCATACTCCCTTGCTCCCCGAGAAACCATCTCCCAAAACAACCCACTTAAAATATTTACATATCTTAGTTTTGATCATGGGCTGTTGTTAAATGAAAATTAGGGTTGTCTAAAAAGGTCTTTTTCTCATTGGTGTACATCATCTTTCATTTTTGCAACATTTACAAGTATCTACCTTGTCCATTGTTGTGGCCTGAATGTTTGTGCCCACCCCCTCTTCACTGCCCCCCCAATTCCTGTGTTAAAGCCCTAACTCTCAGGTTCTGTTGTTCTGATGGTTTTGGGAGGTGGAGTCTTTTGGAGGTAGTTAGGCTTAGATGAGGGCATAGGGGTGCAGTCCCATGTTGGGGGTTAGTGCCTCTGTCAGAAGCAGAAGAGACCCCTCTCTGTCACACGAGGATACAGAAGAAGGCAGTTCTCTGCAAGCCAGGAAGAGCGGACCCCCACCCATAGCCAAATCCGCTGGCATTTTGATTTTGAATTTAGAGATCTTCCAGAGCTGTGAGAAACAAATGTCTATTGTTTAAGCCATCCTGTCTGTGGTATTTTGTTACAGTGGTCTAAACAGACTAAGATACCCGCTGTTTTAGTTCTGTTCTAACTAAAGAATTGCATTGGGTGTCTTGATCAATAAGTGTCCAACTGACAACACATACTAACTCAGTAATGTCATAATCCTGTTGGATTTATCATTTTTTAAGGACAAAAAAATTACCGTGCATCACCATTCTCACTGAATATGTATTCTTACTGGCCTATTTGTATACTTCCATGCCCATGTTAGCCATCCCACGAAAACAATATGGTTGTGTCCCAAAACAAGTCTGTAGGGGGTTGTGTAGCTGGGCATTTCATTTGAGCTGTATGTACTTGCAGATCTGTGGCCCTTCTGCTGATTGATTTTAATACTGTCATGTGAATATATCTAAAAACTTACCCACAATCATGTTTTTTTTTTGTCCTGTATGTGTGAATGTCCCATGGCCATCATTTTGGGGTAGCAGATACTCATTTCTCTTCTGTGGTTCTCTCCCTAATTGGTCTGTGAGCTAACTTTTTTATATGTTTTATTTGATATCTACATTGTTACAATATAGATTACCTTTAATTTTTAATCATAAACATGTCAATGCAGCCCAAAGTGTTTAAATATAGCTATATTTTATTGGACTCAACTATGTGGCAGGCCCTATTATTTGCTTTACTTAGACTAATCTCAATCCAATAGTCTTAGGAGATAGATGTTATCACCCCCACTTTAGAAAGAAACAGAGGTGAAGTTAGTAACTTGGCCAAAGTCACATGGCAGAGCTGAGATTATGACTATCTCCAAAGCTCCCATTCCAACAAGCTACTTTATAATGTCCCTCAATGTACAGTCATTGGATTGTCTCCTTTTACTGATGAAGGGACTGAGGTTCAGTGAAGTAACTTGATCAGATTTACGTAACTGATTAGTTATGGAGCTGGGATTTGAATCCTGATTTTATGGCTCAACATTCCAGTGCATTTTCAATTTCAGTGTTCAAATATCCCAGTTAGAACTTTCTTGTCTATGACTTATAATGTGCTTCCGCCACACCTACTTTGGAACCTTAAGCTTTGCTGTAAGTTAGACACAGGTGTTGTGCCTCCCTTGTTTTGGATGAGACTGGGACTTTGGTTAGAAGAATTGTCTTTGTTTAAATGCAAGTAAGCAAATCTTTTGATACTTAACCCAACTCTTTCAACAGAACCTTCCCTGTATAAAAGATATAGAAGGCATTCCTTGTGTAGGGAAATTCTCCCTTGCTGTATGTCATTTCTACTTGTTAGTATAAACCAAACTATGTTGGTTTGGTCCTTCAGACTCTTTAATTCTGGTCCCTCTCACCAAACAACAGTGACTTGGATTTTCGTATTGTTGCCCATAATCTTCCCATTTTCTACACAGTAAAATCCATAATGCAGGAAACCTTTTTCAAGGTGGGTTGATTGTGGCCCAGGTAATTTTTATCTTATCAGTCAGTTACATCTTAGTGTTTATATAGATAGTGCTGGTGAATATGCTGAGAAGCTGAGTAGGACTTTTTGACTGGTTTACTTGTGTTCCTATAAAATAGCAAATTGGGTTTGACTGCTAGTTTTTAGAACCTTTAGTTTGTTGTGGAACCTGATATCATGTTGGTGCTCTGTTATTTGCCACCATCGTTATGGATATGCTTGGTTCTCTTTTGTAGTGCATTGTAATGAATTCTGAATTCTATATAGTAGAAAATAGAATGTACTTTTGGCTTTTGCTTTGGAAAATCTTTGCTTTCATGTAGTGTTTTTTTTTCCTTGAAGGCTGATTAAGCACCTACCTTCCTGTGTGATAGTAGTATAGGCCTGACTATGAAATAATCTGTATATAGTCATTTGTGTTTGTATGGCCTGAATTTGGAGATGTTAGCTTTTATATGTCTAAAAAAGTATTTGATGATCTTCTCTTAAGTTAGTGTTTCCTGCTGATGAGAGAGTAATGAAGCACTTGGTCCCTTGGTTGATTAGAACTGGACTTGTTAAATGATCTTTCGTAAGTAATAGGGAATATGTTGGAGAGTGTACCATCAGTTCTACTGCAGATATACTATAGAATCTTAGTCCTCAGTTCTCAAGATGTTTCTCTAGCCATTCAGCCTTGATCAGCAGCTCTCCAAGTCCATTCTGGTTGTTAACATTAACTCTTGGAAGTATAAATACAAAACAGCCTATTTTTTACCAAGTTCTCTCACTGAACCTAGGGCAAAGGCCATGCATTTCAGAACTTCGGGAGCCACTTTGCAATTCCAGAAAAACCATTTTGCCGTGTTATGCAATTGCTGCTCAAAATGATGCTCAGGGGAATTTTGTCGTAAAATAGAGTATTTTAATCAGTCACTGCACTAGTCTGCTTTCTTTATATTTTCAACATGTTCATAAGGATGTCTGTATTTGGTTATAAGTAACCTTGAAGATATGGGCTATTGCAGTTATTAGAAAGCATTATTAACAGATTTATTAATAGATTTGGATTTGAAATAGATTTGTAAGCATCTTGTCTCCAAGTGGTTCTTCCCTTCCAGTCTGCGTCTTTCCTTATATCAAAAGAATGTTATCAAAGTGACTGAACTTTTGGAGAACTAGTGTTTTCTTTTGGCACATAAGAAATAATCAATAAACATAGTACATTGAGAGGGTGAATACTGGCATTACAGTGTTACAACATTCCTGTGGGGACAAGATAGCTCAGATATCCTCAAATGTGTTCCCTCTTCTGCTTTTTTCTCCAGTAAGGATCTCACCTATAACAGTTTTCCTTTAGTCATGAAATTCTCCCCTGCTTTATATGTCATTTCTATTTATTCCTTTAAACCAAAGTATCTACAGTGGTAGCAAGAAAAACAAAAGTATAAATCTACAGAGTTAAAAAGGTCTAGACATCTGCAGGGTTATAGTTGTAATGATATTACATGGTTTCAAAGTCAGCTAGAGAAACATCAGCCATAAAAGATACAGTACATTTATGTGAGAGGAATATGTATCTTTTCTGTATAAAATTTAAGACAGCTTACCAGTGAAATGAAATCCCTGAAGTGAAGCTGTGTACCTCTTGTAGGATGCTTACCTGTGGTTCTGTCAGCATTATTTTGCACAATAAAAAAAAATATTTTGAGAATATCATTGAATATCTTTAAGTAATCTTTAAGAAATGCTTTTGCTTTTCCTGTTTGGATACAGCTGAAAGTACCCATGGCAGACAAGCCTGGTAACACAGTGAATTTCCGGAAGCTGCTACTGAACCGTTGTCAGAAGGAGTTTGAAAAAGATAAAGCAGATGATGATGTCTTTGAGAAGAAGCAGAAAGAACTCGAGGCTGCCAGTGCTGTAAGTATTTTCACCGAAAGATGGGGCTTGTGCACTTTGTTATCAGAATCTTCCTGGAACTGGCTACTGTATCTGCCTTTTCCTTCAAGAGGGTCAGTGGCCTTTTTATCATGTAGAGACACTCTTATAATGTGGAGGATTGCTTTATTCTTTTTAGTGCTGGATGCTAGAGCAACCCAACCTTTTGAAATAGGGATTCAGAGCCTAGACTTCACAGACACCGAGTTCCAGAAATCTGAGGTGGATGCGAACTTCTGGTATAGTTCAGTTTTCTGAGGAGTAGATCTGTAGTTGCAGTCTGATTCTTAAAGGGTATCCCTGATCCCAGAAAGGATAAAGACCATGAATTTCCATACATTGTTAGCATGTATTGTACAGAACAGTTTTCATCATCAAGGTTCTATTTCTTTTCTTATGCAATAGCCAGAGGAGAGGACGAGGCTTCACGATGAACTGGAGGAAGCTAAGGACAAAGCTCGGCGGAGATCCATCGGTAACATCAAGTTCATCGGAGAACTCTTCAAACTCAAAATGCTCACTGAAGCCATCATGCATGACTGCGTGGTGAAGCTGCTAAAGAATCACGATGAAGAATCCCTAGAGTGCCTGTGCCGCCTGCTCACCACCATTGGCAAAGACCTGGACTTTGAGAAAGCAAAGGTAAAAATCCAGAATCTCCAAAACCTCTGGCAGGACTCCGTCAGTTTCGTTATCGAGTGTCCATCTTGCCCCTGCACTCGAGTCTGTTCGTATTTCTCCTTCTGCCCTTCTTATGGTCAGTGGTGGGCCACCATGCTCCTTAGCACATTTCCATTAAACTCAGAAGTGAAGAAAGTCCCAAGTGACGTAAAAGCCAATTTGTGAATGTTCAGATAGTCTGTCCCTTGTCCTTTTCCTGTGTGACAGGACATTTGTGAGTATAGCAAATTATGGGCAGAAACAAGGGGAGAAAAACTGCTGTGGGCCAGAACTAGTGGTGATACAGAAATGAAGAACATCCGGTAGCTTTCTTCAGTTTATACTCTCATTAAATGACATAGCTATCTAAACATAATGCAAGAAATCATTAAAATATTATAATTCAAACATGGTGCTCTCCAAATAAGGGGTAGGGAAATGAGAAATGCTTTAAAGAAATAATGTCAGAAATGTTTCATAACATCTGAAGCAGCTAGGATTATGTTTGATTATGGCAGAAAACCCCAAATATCAGTGCTTTATACAAGATTTATTTCTCACACATATAAGTAGAGCTCAGAAGTAAGAGGTCTGAGGCTGGACCAGTGGCTCAGAGATGATAAAAAAATTCCAGTTCCTCCAGCTTCACATTCTGTCATCCTCAAGGTGTACCTTTGTCCTCATTATTCTCAGCAGAGAAGATTGGAAAGGGTCAAAGAACATAGCCACCTCTCTCTCAAGGAAAGTTCTGAGGGGCTGCAATAGGACATTTTTATTTACATTCTCTTGGCTTGTAATTAGTTCCATGACCACAACCAGCTGTTTAACATATGTAGCCTTTATTTTGGGTGTCATATGTTCAATTAAAAATTCTACCACATTACTTTTTGGTTGTAACTTATATTCCTGGGCCATTTAAAAATTCTGCATGGCAAAACTACATTTGAAATTTCTCAGCCAGGAATACTAATGGTTTTATCTCTTGCAGCCACGTATGGACCAGTATTTTAATCAGATGGAGAAAATTGTGAAAGAAAGGAAAACTTCATCTAGGATTCGATTCATGCTTCAGGATGTGATAGACCTAAGGCTGGTAAGTAGAAAAGTAATAAGCCTACCATCCATTCTCTTTAAGGCATTGGGTTGGGGAGGATGTCCTGGGACTGACATGTGTAGAAATGAAATGCTTTTGCTCCAGGACTCTCAGACCTGAATTGACAAAGTGCTCACAGGAGAGCTGTGTGCAACAACAGAGGCATGTGTGTGTGCCTGCTCTGTGTTTCTTCTCTTTACTCTATCAAACCACGTGGCAGTTTTGAAGTCAGCCATTCTGAATCCAAACTATGGTTAATTCTGTTTAGTTTTAGGATGCTAAATAATCGGGAAGCCTCATCTTCAAAATGAGTATGTTTAACTTCCCTCAGCCTTAAGTTTTTAGTCTCTAAAATGGGGATGATGTCCTTGCAGATGTGTTCTAAAGATCAATAAGGTGATTATGTAAAGGGCCCAGCTCACAGGAGATGTTGATATTTTCTTCTCTGTTGTTCTTCCTATATACCCTCTTGTCTGCTGCCTTTTTTTTCCCCCCTCATTTCTCATACTGGTTACAGTTTTTACCACTACCACCTCTTTTTTCTCTTCTTATTTTAACTCCTGCAGGGAATATACTGCAGCTGACTCTAAACTAGAGAAAGTGAAAACAGGTCTCACCTCTTTCCTGCCCTGTACCCAGACCCAAGGTTCTTTATCTTGCTAAGCCCAGCTGTGACCTTAAGTTCCTTCTTAGTACCAGAGCTACTATAGCTGATCAAAATTTTTATGCTGATTTAAACCTATTTGCCATCCTTGCATCTAACTAGTATAAATAAGTATAAAAAACTTCTTCACCCATGCCTTCAGCCACTTGTCCTTATATTAGATGTTGAGACTATAGCTAGGAAGGGAAGGAAAGGGAGAAGTATTATTGTAAGGAGATAGCTTCTTTGGTTCTTAGTAAAAAGGATAATCAAAGGGTGAAGTGGTATGACACTTTGTGCAAGACACCAGAATCATAATATGGGAGGAAGAAGCCTGCTGTCACCCGCAGTTCAGGAACCCCGTGGGGGTGACAAGAGCTGCACGGCAGTGACCAGGTTAAGGCCTGATGGAAGAACCCTGGCATTTGCTGATTCCTCTTCTCTCTCTTCCTTTCAAACATACAAAGTAATTTTTTAAAAATACACTTGGGCTAGCCTTTCACTCTTTTTAATCCTTCTGCTGTTAGAACGCTCAGTATACAGTAGTTCAGGGTTGTTTGAGAACTTCATTCTTTAATTCTCTTCCCCAGATTGCACATAGCGCCATGTGTAAGACAGATGAAAAACTGCCACAGTATCAACTTTTATATGTATTTTATACTTTTCTTGCAGTAAAAAGTATAAAATAGATTTTCAAAAATTTTTAGTTTCTATTTTTGTTGTCTTGCTCTCTTGCCAATGGGTTTCAGCCCTGGGCAAGTTCACTATGGATTCAGTGTGACCAAAGAAATGGCAGTAGAACGTTCTTGGGATGAAAGCGTTATACCCAACTTTATGTCCACAGTGGCAGGTCAATCACTAAAATATCATTCAGTCAGAGTGAGTTTGCATGCAGCAAGCCGGCGGTCTCTGCCTCAGGGCCTCTCTGTCCTCTGCTCTCCTGCCAGCCTTGCAGCCATGCCACCATATCACCCAGAGCACTGGGCAGAGCTCTTTATATAGAATCAATAACAGTGTATTGCCGACACGTGTGTAGTGAGCTAGCTGACCAGGGCCAGGTGAGAATCCTAGCCACAGGAACTATCATTTTATCCACACTTGCCAATAACCTTATTTTTTCCTTTACAGTGTAATTGGGTATCTCGAAGAGCAGATCAAGGGCCTAAAACTATTGAACAGATTCATAAAGAGGCTAAAATAGAAGAACAAGAAGAGCAAAGGAAGGTCCAGCAGCTCATGACCAAAGAGAAGAGAAGAACAGGTGAGGGGTGGAGTCCACTGAGGTGTTAGAGAAATGAAACTTTGAGGGACAGATACATAAGAATTCTGTATTTAGGTGTGAAGGGAGACCAGGAAGAATAACCCAAAGAATAGAGTGGTAGTTGGTACGTGAAGCATTTTCACCTGAAGACTGGTTATTAAGTAGAGCAGAGAATGCAGGAAGTAAATGTGATTTCTCTAGCTACTTCAAAGTTAGTAGTTAAGAAGACTTTATTAAGCATCTTCCATATATTCTTTATTAGTAAGGGATATAAAAAGAAGTGAAGATAGCATTCCTCTGTCTAAAGGCTTACATTTTATCTAGGAAGTCAAAACCAATAAAAGAAACATTTGTCAAACAAACAGAAGATGATATCAGTTATGAAATATATTCTGCATTAAGGTTGTTAAAATTCAGAGAAGAAGAAAGATAGCTGGAAGAAATCTTTATTTGAGGAAAAGAGGTGCACTTGAACTGGGTCTTGGTGGACGGTAGATGGTAGATATTTGGAAGGGAAGGAGTAGTTTTGGTCACAAAATTAAATATTGTAAGGAGAAATAGACAACATCGATTGAAGCAAAATTTAAGTGTTCAGAAGAAATGGAAAAATGTTCGTCTGGAAGGATGGAGCCAGATTAAGAACTTTTGATTTTGGTACACATTAAGGGACCAGCGAAAGTTTTTGAGCAAAGGAGTAATGTCATGCTAGAGAAATGTAAATAAAAGAAGTCTGTTGCTCTTCACATGGTGAATCGGAGGGATTGAGCTCAGAGATGCTGCTGTTGCTGAAATCCTACATGGAAGGAGGTGAGACTTTGCAGCAAAAAAGAATAAAAAGCAGCAGAAAAACAAATAGGAAAGATGAACTACAAGGCATTTTACACCTGAGAAAATAGAAAGACCACTGAGTAAGTTTTTGAACAGTGGAAGAGGAAACTTATTCAGAAGGGAAATGATCATTTTTCTTTTGGGCCTTGTTGAGATGACAGTAGAGTGCCCAAATAAGAAGGCTCCTTTGTCCACTGTGCAGTTGAGTGACTGGGGTAGTGACTGGGTCATACCGTTGAAAACCTGGGCTCTGGAGCTAGACTGTCTGGGTTTGAGTTTCATCTCTCTTGTATTCTAGGTGTATGACTTTGTTAAGTCACTTACTCTGTAATATGGATCTAATAAGGGTACCTAGGGTTTGTGTGAGGATGAAATGAGGTAGTAATAAAGTGTTTAGTACAGCAACTAGGACATAATAAATCCTCAATGATCATTAGCTATTATTCATCACAGGCATAGTAGAGCACATAGTGAAGTTACGAGAGATGACTCCTCCAGGGAAGAAGGTGTACTTTTTAAGTTGCATGAGACACCACATTTACCTTCCTCACCCTAGTTGCCTAGCACAGTGTCTTTCAGGTAATGACCTTTATTTTTCACTGAACCAGATTGCAGGGGATATGAAAGCCGAAGCCAGGGAGGATGTCCACAGATCACAAAAGGAAGAAAGGAACTCTTGGAGAAGTGACATATAAAGAACAAGTGGAGAGGAGGGAGTACTGGGATTTAAGTATCATAGAAATAAGGAGGAAGCCAGGCTGTACATGATCATAATGTAAGAACAGAGAAAGTCAAGAAGCACAAGGACCAGAAGAGCTTTTGAATAGACAGCTTGATGGTCTTTCATTCATTCATTCATTCATACAACAAATATTTATTCAGTGCCTGTCACTTAACAGGAGAGACAAAGTTCCTTCCTTCATGAATTTTGCATATTACAGGGGGAAAAATACAATTAGTCCTTAAATATATAATTTTTGTCAGATAAATTTGTTCTACAGAAAAAAAAAAAGCAGAGAGGGAGGGAATGGGTGCAAGGCTTGGTGAGCAGAGGTTGGAATTTTAAACACGAAGTTTGGGGAGCCTATTAAAGCTGGTATTGTTTAAGCAAAACTCTGAAGTAAGTGAGGGAATTTGTTCATGTGGATTTTAGGATTCATGGGACAGAGGGTGTCAGGCAAAGGGAAGAGTAAGTACAGAGGCCCTGAAGCAGCATTTTCAAGGAATAGCAAGGAGGCCAGTGTGGCTGGGGCCAAGGGCATGCATAGGGGGAGAGTGGTAGAAGATGGAGTCTGAGGGGCAGGGATCCCGTTTATTGAGAGTTTATAACCCATTTATAAGAAATCTGTCTTTTTCTCTGCGCGAGCTGGAGTAGGAGAGCTGTGTGCAACAACAGAGGCATGTGTGTGTGCCTGCTCTGTGTTTCTTCTCTTTACTCTATCAAACCACGTGGCAGTTTTGAAGTCAGCCATTCTGAATCCAAACTATGGTTAATTCTATTTAGTTTTAGGATGCTAAATAATCGGGAAGCCTCATCTTCAAAATGAGTATGTTTAACTTCCCTCAGCCTTAAGTTTTTAGTCTCTAAAATGGGGATGATGTCCTTGCAGATGTGTTCTAAAGATCAATAAGGTGATTATGTAAAGGGCCCAGCTCACAGGAGATGTTGATATTTTCTTCTCTGTTGTTTTTCCTATATACCCTCTTGTCTGCTGCCTTTTTTTTTCCCCCTCATTTCTCATACTGGTTACAGTTTTTACCACTACCACCTCTTTTTTCTCTTCTTATTTTAACTCCTGCAGGGAATATACTGCAGCTGACTCTAAACTAGAGAAAGTGAAAACAGGTCTCACCTCTTTCCTGCCCTGTACCCAGACCCAAGGTTCTTTATCTTGCTAAGCCCAGCTGTGACCTTAAGTTCCTTCTTAGTACCAGAGCTACTATAGCTGATCAAAATTTTTATGCTGATTTAAACCTATTTGCCATCCTTGCATCTAACTAGTATAAATAAGTATAAAAAACTTCTTCACCCATGCCTTCAGCCACTTGTCCTTATATTAGATGTTGAGACTATAGCTAGGAAGGGAAGGAAAGGGAGAAGTATTATTGTAAGGAGATAGCTTCTTTGGTTCTTAGTAAAAAGGATAATCAAAGGGTGAAGTGGTATGACACTTTGTGCAAGACACCAGAATCATAATATGGGAGGAAGAAGCCTGCTGTCACCCGCAGTTCAGGAACCCCGTGGGGGTGACAAGAGCTGCACGGCAGTGACCAGGTTAAGGCCTGATGGAAGAACCCTGGCATTTGCTGATTCCTCTTCTCTCTCTTCCTTTCAAACATACAAAGTAATTTTTTAAAAATACACTTGGGCTAGCCTTTCACTCTTTTTAATCCTTCTGCTGTTAGAACGCTCAGTATACAGTAGTTCAGGGTTGTTTGAGAACTTCATTCTTTAATTCTCTTCCCCAGATTGCACATAGCGCCATGTGTAAGACAGATGAAAAACTGCCACAGTATCAACTTTTATATGTATTTTATACTTTTCTTGCAGTAAAAAGTATAAAATAGATTTTCAAAAATTTTTAGTTTCTATTTTTGTTGTCTTGCTCTCTTGCCAATGGGTTTCAGCCCTGGGCAAGTTCACTATGGATTCAGTGTGACCAAAGAAATGGCAGTAGAACGTTCTTGGGATGAAAGCGTTATACCCAACTTTATGTCCACAGTGGCAGGTCAATCACTAAAATATCATTCAGTCAGAGTGAGTTTGCATGCAGCAAGCCGGCGGTCTCTGCCTCAGGGCCTCTCTGTCCTCTGCTCTCCTGCCAGCCTTGCAGCCATGCCACCATATCACCCAGAGCACTGGGCAGAGCTCTTTATATAGAATCAATAACAGTGTATTGCCGACACGTGTGTAGTGAGCTAGCTGACCAGGGCCAGGTGAGAATCCTAGCCACAGGAACTATCATTTTATCCACACTTGCCAATAACCTTATTTTTTCCTTTACAGTGTAATTGGGTATCTCGAAGAGCAGATCAAGGGCCTAAAACTATTGAACAGATTCATAAAGAGGCTAAAATAGAAGAACAAGAAGAGCAAAGGAAGGTCCAGCAGCTCATGACCAAAGAGAAGAGAAGAACAGGTGAGGGGTGGAGTCCACTGAGGTGTTAGAGAAATGGAACTTTGAGGGACAGATACATAAGAATTCTGTATTTAGGTGTGAAGGGAGACCAGGAAGAATAACCCAAAGAATAGAGTGGTAGTTGGTACGTGAAGCATTTTCACCTGAAGACTGGTTATTAAGTAGAGCAGAGAATGCAGGAAGTAAATGTGATTTCTCTAGCTACTTCAAAGTTAGTAGTTAAGAAGACTTTATTAAGCATCTTCCATATATTCTTTATTAGTAAGGGATATAAAAAGAAGTGAAGATAGCATTCCTCTGTCTAAAGGCTTACATTTTATCTAGGAAGTCAAAACCAATAAAAGAAACATTTGTCAAACAAACAGAAGATGATATCAGTTATGAAATATATTCTGCATTAAGGTTGTTAAAATTCAGAGAAGAAGAAAGATAGCTGGAAGAAATCTTTATTTGGGGAAAAGAGGTGCACTTGAACTGGGTCTTGGTGGACGGTAGATGGTAGATATTTGGAAGGGAAGGAGTAGTTTTGGTCACAAAATTAAATATTGTAAGGAGAAATAGACAACATCGATTGAAGCAAAATTTAAGTGTTCAGAAGAAATGGAAAAATGTTCGTCTGGAAGGATGGAGCCAGATTAAGAACTTTTGATTTTGGTACACATTAAGGGACCAGCGAAAGTTTTTGAGCAAAGGAGTAATGTCATGCTAGAGAAATGTAAATAAAAGAAGTCTGTTGCTCTTCACATGGTGAATCGGAGGGATTGAGCTCAGAGATGCTGCTGTTGCTGAAATCCTACATGGAAGGAGGTGAGACTTTGCAGCAAAAAAGAATAAAAAGCAGCAGAAAAACAAATAGGAAAGATGAACTACAAGGCATTTTACACCTGAGAAAATAGAAAGACCACTGAGTAAGTTTTTGAACAGTGGAAGAGGAAACTTATTCAGAAGGGAAATGATCATTTTTCTTTTGGGCCTTGTTGAGATGACAGTAGAGTGCCCAAATAAGAAGGCTCCTTTGTCCACTGTGCAGTTGAGTGACTGGGGTAGTGACTGGGTCATACCGTTGAAAACCTGGGCTCTGGAGCTAGACTGTCTGGGTTTGAGTTTCATCTCTCTTGTATTCTAGGTGTATGACTTTGTTAAGTCACTTACTCTGTAATATGGATCTAATAAGGGTACCTAGGGTTTGTGTGAGGATGAAATGAGGTAGTAATAAAGTGTTTAGTACAGCAACTAGGACATAATAAATCCTCAATGATCATTAGCTATTATTCATCACAGGCATAGTAGAGCACATAGTGAAGTTACGAGAGATGACTCCTCCAGGGAAGAAGGTGTACTTTTTAAGTTGCATGAGACACCACATTTACCTTCCTCACCCTAGTTGCCTAGCACAGTGTCTTTCAGGTAATGACCTTTATTTTTCACTGAACCAGATTGCAGGGGATATGAAAGCCGAAGCCAGGGAGGATGTCCACAGATCACAAAAGGAAGAAAGGAACTCTTGGAGAAGTGACATATAAAGAACAAGTGGAGAGGAGGGAGTACTGGGATTTAAGTATCATAGAAATAAGGAGGAAGCCAGGCTGTACATGATCATAATGTAAGAACAGAGAAAGTCAAGAAGCACAAGGACCAGAAGAGCTTTTGAATAGACAGCTTGATGGTCTTTCATTCATTCATTCATTCATACAACAAATATTTATTCAGTGCCTGTCACTTAACAGGAGAGACAAAGTTCCTTCCTTCATGAATTTTGCATATTACAGGGGGAAAAATACAATTAGTCCTTAAATATATAATTTTTGTCAGATAAATTTGTTCTACAAAAAAAAAAAAGCAGAGAGGGAGGGAATGGGTGCAAGGCTTGGTGAGCAGAGGTTGGAATTTTAAACACGAAGTTTGGGGAGCCTATTAAAGCTGGTATTGTTTAAGCAAAACTCTGAAGTAAGTGAGGGAATTTGTTCATGTGGATTTTAGGATTCATGGGACAGAGGGTGTCAGGCAAAGGGAAGAGTAAGTACAGAGGCCCTGAAGCAGCATTTTCAAGGAATAGCAAGGAGGCCAGTGTGGCTGGGGCCAAGGGCGTGCATAGGGGGAGAGTGGTAGAAGATGGAGTCTGAGGGGCAGGGATCCCGTTTATTGAGAGTTTATAACCCATTTATAAGAAATCTGTCTTTTTCTCTGCGCGAGCTGGAGTGGTACCAGAAGTGTTCTGAGCAAAGAAGTGATAGGACCTGATTTACTAGAGTCACATAGCGTAGAAGCAGATTTGCCAATGAAGAGGGTCTTTACACTAATTAAGGAAACTATGCTGGCTTCAACCAGATTGGTAGTGTTTGTGATCGTTAGAAGGGGCTAGCTGCTCAATGTATTGTAAAGGTCAAAGTGGCCAGATTTGCTGACAAATGGGTCTGAACAGTAGGAGGAATGAGAGTCAAGGTTTCTGCCTGAGCAGCTGAAAGGTTGGAGAAGCAGGTTCAGGGAGAATGATCAAAGTGTACTGTGTCATTTGACACCATTAAGTAAAATAAACTTCAGAATAAATAATTTCTATGTGATTTTTCCTAAGTGTTCTAATCATTAACTCTGTGAAGACTAGATTTGGCCCTCCGTTGTGTAGCACTAAATCTCTATTCATTTGTATCAGCTTGTTTCTTCTAGGTCAGTAATGTTTCATGGGAAAGCCAACCCAAGGAGAGTGCTTGCGCTTGATGTTTTCATGTTGTGGCTAATGGAGACTGTCAGCAAGGCTTTAACAGTTTCTTTGGCCTTTCTCCTTCATTTTGATTGGAGCTGCTAAGTTGAAAATACTGCTCACTCTTTCATTGTCAAATTGACTTGAGACAGATGAGAGAGTGGCTCACTCCATTCTCCCGACAGGTGCCCAGAGAGTGGATGAAGGTGGGTGGAACACTGTACAAGGGGCCAAGAACAGTCGGGTACTGGACCCCTCAAAATTTCTGAAAATCACTAAGGTGAGTATGACATTTAAAATACAACTTAAAACAGCATCAAAACATAACCCTCAAAATTACTTCTTGCTCACATAAGTTAGCCTCATTGTAGATTTTATGGCGTGGTTATTTTTTCATACAGATGCTTTTCTACAAATCAGCATTGATCAGCATGTTCTTACCTACTTGTCCTGGCACTAGTACTTTTTATTTCTATGAGGGATTACTAAGGAGAAAGTGACTAGATTAATTCTTAAAATTATCAAATGCTTAATATATGAGAGATGATAAAAATACTTCAGAAGCCATAGTCAGTTTTCAGCTTTTATACAGTGTTGCCTAGCTTGGGGGAAGGAGCAGCTACCTATTTAAGTCTAACAATGAAAGAAATTAATGGTTTGTTATGTCCAAGGCCTAAAAGAAATCACAGAGGACCTACTTGAAATTATTCTGTGATAAGGATTTAATATACTGTACTTTCCTCTCTTAAGAAATCCATGGGCAGTAAGAGGAAAGAATTTTCTCTTAGCAGATGTTTTCAGCAATAAAAGATTATCTCTATAAGTAGGGTGAAGAACTTGGAGAACATAGAGAAAGCAGAATTACATTTTATAAAAGTGGAAACTTCTACAGCCCAGTGGGTCTTACAAATAATTTGCAGGTCTAGCTTGATCCTTTCTGAAAATTGGCAACCTGACAGCGGAATATTGAAGACAATCTAAAGCTAATACGAAAACATCAAATGAAAGAAGATAACTGAGAAAAAGACTGAGAAAATTGGAAGACGATTGGCTATGTCATTTGCATCATCATGGTTTTATCAAAGCATTGCTTCAGGATAGAACATTCACTCTCTGGATCTCTCTTGATGTTAATTATTCAGGATTCTGTTCTCTGAGATTATGGTACATTCCTCTAGATGTTTATGTCTTGAGAAGGAATTCTATTGCTGAGTATTATTCTGAATTATATTGCTAAATAGAAGTGGCTGGGATAATTCTAGTTTCCAGCAAGAAACAGTTTTAATGAAAATCTTATGCTTAAAGAATTTTCCAACACCAGCCCCAACACCTTTGAAAATTATATCAATACCTAATAAGATTTACCTGTGTTTTAACAGTATATAAAAGACTAGTGTTAGTATTAAACTTGCAACATTATTTCCTTAATACTTTGAAAAATATGTAAATTTTTAAATAAATTTTATGTATATTCAGATAGTTATACTATAGGTACACTACATCTTAGAAGTTCAAAACCATTAAAGTCTTGTTAAATGGGAGAGATTTGTGTAAAAGCATGTCAAGAGAGCAAGGCAGCACTGTCACAATATAGTAACATCTTTGTTAAACAGAGTTGATTACAGCTTTTGTGTTACTGTGTGTTTTGTAATGTCTATTACATTGTAATTCTATTCACTTGCTGGAAATTTGTGCTTGGAGGGTTAAACCCTGGAGATACTAGGCACCTTAACTTCCTGTCTAATATTCTATTCTTTTTCCTTATTCCCCTTTATTGAATACTCCCTTCCTAGCCCCAACCTACATTAGGCTTTGCTAAAATGTGAACTTTTTGTGTTTTTTGACCCATTTTCTGACGATGATGTGAAGAGATTAATGAGTTGATTTTATAGTATTTGTATATTCCTTTTTTTTTTTTCAATTTTTAAATCACTAGGCATTATTGTAGAAGAATCGTTAGAAACTGCTTGTATTTGACAACTAGTACGCTATCTTAGAGGACCTGAATACACTGTCCAGACCAGTGGTTTCAAACTGGGTTTTGTGGAAGCTGCATTCCAAGGAAGTGATTCGGAAACACAAGAAATCCACTTTAATGTGAACAGTCATGATTTATGTTTCATAAATTGGCATTCCAAGCAGAATTTTGTTGTTAAAATTGGTTTTAGTCCACTGGAAAAAAAAAAAAAAAGATAAACTGTTCTTCTAGAATATTTCCTATAATTTACTATGGTCACTTACTTTACAGCCCACAATTGATGAGAAAATTCAGCTGGTACCTAAAGCACAACTGGGCAGTTGGGGAAAAGGCAGCAGTGGTGGAGCAAAGGCAAGCGAGACCGGTGAGTAGGGAGTGTCATTTCTTGGGAAGCTGGACGTGGCCTCTCAGCATTCACCGTACAATCTGGTCCCACAGTTATTTAGTGAGGGTTGTAGGAAAAGGTCTGTAGACTGAGCATGCCCACACTTGCTGGTGTCCCTCTCTGACTAACATAAACTGAGGTTTCCTCATCAATAAAAGTCCTTGGCTATTCAAAAAATATTTTTTAAGATTTTAGTTCAGTTAAGCTATTTGAAATTTCAATTTTTTAGGTTTCTTTGTTGTTGTTATTCACAAATTCAGCATAATTAACAAAATTACTGGGACCCTAAATTAAAAGTAAACTCATTTTGCTGAGAAAAAGGTTATTATTTTTTATTTTATTTCAGATAGTTGTAAAAGACCGAAGAATTCGATTGAAATACCTTTTAACGTCTTTATCAGAAATCAGTGAAATACGTTGTTTTGTTTTTGCTTGCTTCCCGCCTTCTCCTGTTGGCCACCCCTGTGCCTAACCTAGGATAATTTAATTACATTTTTGAAGGAACAGATAGTTGTAATGAATCAAGATTTCTAAGTTCTCTTTACATGAAAATTTCTTCTAGTGCTCTGCTTCCGAGAGTGTGGCCGTGGACCAGAAGAGTGGCATCACCTTGTTAGGCTTGGTAGAAATGCCTAGTCTCGGGGCCTACCCCAGCAAGGCAGATGAATTAGAAGCTGTATTTTAGTCATGTGATTTGTATTTTTCTCAATCCTTCAATATCTGTAGATGCCTTACGGTCAAGTGCTTCCAGTTTAAACAGATTTTCTGCTTTGCAACCTCCAGCATCCTCAGGGTCTACATCATCCATGCCTTTAGAGTTTGAGTCTCGACGAACCTTAACCAGGTAAGAAGCCCACTCTTCATGTTAACGCAAGACTGACCTGCTTGTCAGTGTGTCCATCAGGCTGTCTCTGCCTCACACACACCCACACAGATTATGCTGGTGATCATCCCTATGGATGGATTCCTTCATCCATTCCTAAGGGTGTCCTTTTTCATTTCCTCTTTTATTTTTTGCATTCTATAATTTCCAAGATAAAAACATAATTTCATGGTAGGTTTGGGATAGAGTGGGAGGGAAGGGCAAGTTATCTTGCACACATCTAATGGTTTGCTCCTTAAGAAATCCAAATGCACCCACAGCCCTGGTAGCTGTACAGGGCTGCCAATCTAATGCCCCAGGATGCTGTAGATTAACCTGGCACTCCCAGTGTGTGAACTAAAGGGTATGACAACCCATACATTTCTTTGTACTTGAGGTTGTCTTTTATTCTTCGCTACTCTCTGTATTCTACTGTCTTCCTACTTTTGTTTTCGTAGGTGTGATACAGTTAAGTAGTCTGTTGGCTAGCTTATGGAGACTTGATGAAGACTTGCAATATAGTGATAGAGAACAAAATTTTTTAATGTAACTTTTAGAGCTGAAATTTCTTTAGGCCCTCAAACTTTTGTTTTTTATTATTGTAATCAGTTTGGCTCGGTTGACTTTCTAAACTGTGTCACCACTTCCTTGGCTTCTAAAACTATACTTAACCCAAGTCACCTCTTCCATGATGACTTGAGTTGTCATTGAGCATCAGTTGTGCTGTTGAACTGTTTGCTCCTTACCTGCCATAAATTTCCCCTGATGGCTCTGCTTTTTGAGTACTTGTTATGTTCTTTCACAGAGATTAGACTGTTGTCATGCTTCTAGTCTTTCTTCTTCTCTTCCTTTTAATTTGCTGCTTCTGTTGCCAGGGTTAGAATTTGCCCAGCTGGTTAGAATTGCCTAAAGACTAAATAGGGAGATAGAAAGATGCTCTCTTAAAATGAATAAAGTGTGTAACTTGGGTTATTCAAACTACTTCTACTATTTCGTTCTCAGATGTGTTCTGCATATTTGAAGTTTCTGAATTCAGAAACTTTAAATTTGTTTAAAGTGTATAATTTGTAAGATAGTGATGCCATGTTCTTGTGGTAATCTGTTTCTTTTTCACTCTTTTAGCTCATACTTTCACTGCTGTCTTCTTTATTCTTAAAAGATTTTTTTAAACTAATATAAGACATTTTTCATTTTCAAGTTTTAAGTTAGTACCCCTTTAACATTAAAAAAAAGTTAGAGTTTATCTTAATATTCCCTTTAAAATACTGGTTTTACTTGTTTATATAAATACACTATGAAATGTAATTGGTGTCTCACACATCTAGTGTTATCTGTGAAAAATTATTCTGCATACTTTTAGAAAGTCTTAGTGTTTATTTTATAATTTAATAGAGGATGGAGTAGTTCTTTTTTTTTGAAGAATCTTGTTTTGTCTTTTAAGTCGTGGAAGCATGGGCAGGGAGAAGAATGACAAGCCCCTTCCATCTGCAGCAGCTCGTCCAAACACTTTCATGAGGGGCAGCAGCAGTAAAGACCTGTTGGACAATCAGTCTCAAGAAGAGCAGAGGAGAGAGATGCTGGAGACTGTGAAACAGCTTACAGGGGGCTTGGATGTGGAGAGGGCCAGCACTGACGCTGAGCGAAGCAAAATCAGGGAGTCAGGTGAGAGACTTTGTAGAACAAATATAGTTGGTGTTTTGGGCTTACGGAGAATTTGTTTTGTGCCTGAGTAGATTTAAAAATCAATACAATAACAACAGCACACACCCTTGCCTTAAAAGGTAAGGGGCATCTTCATAGTTTTGTAACATGTTCTCATTCCCCGGGTATTCCTTTGTTCAACAATTTGTGAATTTTCCCCTTTCTCTATTAAATGTGATGATGATGAGGTCCTTTTGCTGTATATTAATTAAGCAATCTGAATTTTTTACAGATTCCCTAAATGACTCCTTGCTGTACATTAGTGTGCATATGCTTTGTAGAGGCCCTCAAATGTATGAAAATTCTGACTTCGTTGAGCCACTGCAAGGCAAACCAAAGAGAAAGTATCAGACTGCCTTTTGTTACCTTCATCTTGGTAACCTCTGTGGTTTTTCTAAGTGTTGAGCATGTATTTGCTTAGAGGACCAACTCAGACGAATGCTCTAAAAATTACCTTGTGTATTTAACCTGTGTTTTAGTTTCCTCATCTCTTATATGGGGATAGTAAGTGAAACTAGCCTGTAGCGTTATTATGATAAAAATGAGAAGTTAACACATCTAAATAGTTAGAACATTATATGACACATACAAAGTTCTCTGAAAGTATTAGATGTCATGATGAGGATGATAATGACAATGATGAAAAACAGTTTAAAGATAGATGATTTTCAGCATCTTGTAAGTCTTAACTCTGAAGTAAATACTGGTTGTTTATAACATTTCCATAGCTTTCAGATTAATTTCACTATTTAAATTGTGTCCCCTAACAATAGTCTCTAAACATATTTCAGAGACAGATATAAATGTCCCAACTGTTATAGACTTCAGATCCTTTTAGCTTAAGGGACATTGGCTTTCCTATCTGTGCTAGGTATTTGGGAATACAAGAAGATAGGGTGTGAAAATATATTAGTGAATGCTGTATGTAGCACAACTACCATATTTATATTTATTGTCTGAGTCACTTGTTCATTTGCCACGTGCACACTGACTTCTAGTGACTTCTGAGTACTTGATTCCTGTTCTTGGCCTTCTGTCTGATGGGTTGGGAATACCTTTATCAAATAATTCCATGAAAAATACTACAAACCGAGAAAAATGCTATGAAGGAAAAGAACAGGTCTGAAAGAGTACTTAATAAAGTAACCATCTAGAACTGCCACAGAGGAATGTCAGGGAAGCCTTTCCTTAGGTCTGAAGGACCAGTAGGAGTTAAAACAAGTTTGCAGGAAGGAGTGGGTGTGGAGTGGTGAGAAAGTGCATTCCGGATAGGAGGAACACCATGAGCAGAATGACTGTAGGTGGATCCACGGCACTTGCAAGAAACTGCCAAAGGCCAGTTTGGCTAGAGCTCGGCACAATTGTGGAGGCCTCCTGTGTTCATCATTGAAGCAATGGAGAGGAATCAAAATACAGAAAGGAGCAAAACCGTTCTAATTATAAAATTCATCATATTGCTGTATACTTTAGTTGTAGATTATGAAGGTTCTTGTACATATCATTTCTAAAATGACTGTTTCTGTGTTTTCCTGCTTTGCCAAATTTGTATTGGTTTTAGTGCTTTTATTAAAAAGCAATGTAACAACAAAAAATATTACCACCCATAACCCACCATTTTAGTGATAATTTTTGTCATTTTTAGTTTTTCACTTTCTTTAACTTCTAGTAGCAAAACCAGAAACTCCAGCAACATCGACCCCTGACAAGTCTGCATTGTCAGAAGAGGAGATGGAGAGGAAATCCAAATCTATCATTGATGAATTTCTACACATTAATGATTTTAAGGTAAATGAATTTTTAAAAAAGAAAGTATCAACCACATGAAAGGCCCTGTGACAGAGACATAGTCACTTGGTTCTGGTTTAAGTCACTGTGAACTGATAAGACAGGAGTGATCGGTCCAAGTCACACCCAGTTCAGTCTGCACAGTTCTCATGCATTGCCGCCAAGCACTCTCTCTTAAATTGATACTGTAATTCCAAGGTCAAGTGGCAGGAAAAGAAAATGGGTGTCATTCCATTCCCATTATGGAATAACCAGGTTGATTTTGATATTAATGAACAAAAAACATATTATCATTATGAGGCTTTCAGTCATAATCTTTGCAGTCATTTTTTTTTGTTGTTATCATTAATCTACAATGACAAGAAGAACATTATGTTTACTAGGCTCCCCCCTTCACCAAGTCCCCCACACACACCTCCTTACAGTCACTGTCCATCAGCGTAGTAGGATGCTGTAGAATCACTAGTTGTCTGCTCTGTGTTGTACAGCCCTCCCCATGCACCCCCCCACATTATACATACTATTCGTAATGCCCCCTTTCTTTTTTCCTTGCCCTTATCCCTCCCTTCCCACCCATCCTCCCCAGTCCCTTTCCCTTTGGTAACTGTTAGTCCATAATTGGGTTCTGTGAGTCTGCTGCTGTTTTGTTCCTTCAGTTTTGCTTTGTTCTTATATCCGCATATGAGTGAAATATTTTGGTACTTGTCTTTCCCCGCCTGGCTTATTTCACTGAGCATAATACCCTCTAGCTCCATCCATGTTGTTGCAAATGGTAGGATTTGTTTTCTTCTTATGGCTGAATAATATTCCATTGTATATATGTACCACATCTTCTTTATCCATTCATCTACTGATGGACACTTAGGTTGCTTCCATTTCACGGCTATTGTAAATAGTCCTGCGATAAACATAGGGGTGCATCAGTCTTTTTCAAACTGGAGTGCTGCATCCTTAGGGTAAATTCGTAGAAGTGGAATTCCTGGGTCAAATAGTATTCCTATTTTGAGCTCTTTGAGGAACCTCCATACTGCTTTCCACAATGGTTGAACTAGTTTACATTCCCACCAGCAGTGTAGGAGGGTTCCCCTTTCTCCACAACCTTGCCAACATTTGTTGTTGTTTGTCTTTTGGATGGTGGTGATCCTTACTGGTGTGAGGTGATATCTCATTGTGGTTTGAATTTGCATTTCTCTGATGACTAGCGATGTGGAGCATCTTTTCATGTGCCTGTTGGCCATCTGAATTTCTTCTTTGGAGAACTGTCTGTCCAGCTCCTCTATCCATTTTTTAATTGGATTATTTGCTTTTTGTTTGTTGAGGTGCGTGAGCTCTTTATATATGTTGGATGTCAAGCCTTCATCGGATCTGTCATTTATGAATATATTCTCCTATACTGTAGAATGCCTTTTTGTTCTATTGATGGTGTCCTTTGCTGTACAGAAGCTTTTCAGCTTGATATAGTCCCACTTGTTCATTTTTGCTTTTGTTTCCTGTGCCCGGGGAGATATGTTCATGAAGAAGTCGCTCATGTTTATGTCCAAGAAATTTTTGCCTATGTTTTTTTCTAAGAGCTTTATAGTTTTATGACTTACATTCAGGTCTTTGATCTATTTCAAATTTACTTTTGTGTATAGGTTAGACAGTGATCCAGTTGCATTCTCTTATATGTAGCTGTCCAGTTTTGCCAGCATCATCTGTTGAAGAGACTGGCATGTCCCCATTGTATGTCCATGGCTCCTTTATCATATATTAATTGACCATATATGTTTGGGTTAATGTCTGGAGTCTCTATTCTGTTCCACTGGTCTGTGGCTCTGTTCTTATGCCAGTACCAAATTATCTTGATTACTGTGGCTTTGTAGTAGAGCTTGAAGTTGGGGAGTGAGATCCCTCCCACTTTATTCTTCCTTCTCAGGGTTGCTTTGGCTATTCGGGGTCTTTGGTGTTTCCATATTAATTTTTAAACTGTTTGTCCCAGTTTGTTGAAGAATGCTGTTGGTAATTTGATAGTGATTCCATTAAATCTGTATATTGCTTTGGGCAGGATGGCCATTTTGACGATATTAATTCATCCTAGCCAAGAGCATGGGATGAGTTTCCATTGTTAGCGTCCTCTTTAATTTCTCTTAAGAGTGTCTTATAGTTTTCAGGGTATAGGTCTTTCACTTCCTTGGTTAGGTTTTTTCCTAGGTTTTTTATTTTTTTGATGCAATTGTGAATGGAATTGTTTTCCTGATTTCTCTTTCTGCTAGTTCATCATTAAGTGTATAGGAAAGCAACAGATTTCTATGTATTAATTTTGTATCCTGCAACTTTGCTGAATTCACATATTCTAGTAGTTCTGGAGTTGAGTCTTCAGGGTTTTTTATGTACAATATCATGTCATCTGCAAATAGTTTGACTTCTTTACCAATCTGGATGCTTTGTATTTCTTTGTTTTGTCTAATTGCCATGGCTAGGACCTCCAGTACTGTGTTGAATAACAGTGGGGAGAGTGGGCATCCCTGTCTTGTTCCCGATCTCAGAGGAAAAGCTTTCAGCTTCTCTCTGTTAAGTATGATGTTGGCGAGCTAAAGAATTTTGGCTTGGACAAAGTTGAGAGAGCTGAGGGATGGGAGGCACACGCTATATTGATGATTCAGTGACTATAGTTGCCAAGCCTTTACCCTCGAGACCAAAGAGTTATATACCTAGCCATATCACCCCATGGTAAGGACCAGTTCAGAAGCCCCACACCCCAACAACTTCCTAAAAGGTTTTTAGTACTTGGCTAACCATATTAATTTCCTATGAAGGAAGACCTCTTTCATTGAAGATTTTGCAAATATTAACAGACCCAAACAGAATCACCTCCATTGCCACATTAAGGCCTTTGAATCATGACTTTGAATTTCTGCTTCATAATACACCATTTTCAGTTTTTTTAATGATCCTAAAACAGGTAAACATTGTGTAGAATAGTACATTTTGACTCTGGTCTTTTGAGTAATCTTTAATAAAATTATTAAGCTAAACATATTACCCTTATAAAGATACAATATTTTTTTGTTTTTATATATGATTAATATTACCTATATCTGCCTGCATTTACTAAGCCATATTAATGTTTAAAAAATATCTATATATCAAAACTATCTTGTTATTAGAGCTTTCTATTGACTTTGTTATAAGTAAAAGATTTTAAACTTACTTTAACACTCTGTTAATGCTATCCAGATTATGGAGTAAGCTTTTATTTGCTATTTGAACAGGAAGCCACGCAGTGTGTAGAAGAGCTGAATGCCCAGGGCCTGCTACATGTGTTTGTGAGAATGGGAGTGGAGTCTACCCTGGAAAGGAGCCAGATCACCAGGGATCACATGGGCCAATTACTGTATCAGCTGGTACAGTCAGAAAAACTCAGCAAACAGGACTTTTTCAAAGGGTCAGTATCCTCCTGAAGAGTGGTATTCAGTATATTAGGCTCTTGAATAGTAAGTAATTTTCAAACTACACATCTTTTTAAGTATTTGGCTTTTTTCATAGATTAAAATTGTGTCTACTGTAATATATTGATAAAATGTTGGTTGATATGATGGCATTTTGTAAATTGTGCTAGGGCTTAAAGGTTACCTTCTGGTTTTCTATATCTTATTGTTAGACCTATATTATGATGTAAGTAAGGGCAGAGACCCCTTAACCACAGGGAAACCTTGAGGCTCTCATCAGTGCATTTACATGTAAACCCCTATATGTTCTTTGAGGAAGAGCCTTTCTTTGTGATAAAAATTATAGAAAATTAACTTAACTTTGCAGCATTATCCTTTCAATAAACCACGGATATTCTGTCCAGGAAATGCTAGTCTGCCCACTCTAGCCCCATGGAAGGATATGTAACTCTTAAGTTCCTAATGATTTAGTATATTCCAGCTTGGTTTCATTATGAGCCTGTGAAGGATGATTGGTTGAAGTCTGATTGTCCCTGGGGTTGTATCCTCATTTGGTTAGGTTGTAGTATCTTTGTGATTATCACAAAGTGCATGAATCAGGTTCTTTGTAGTATAGCCACAGAATTTTACTCAGGCTTAAAGTCATTGTTTAATATGAAAATTGCATACAGTAAAACATTTTGTTTTAGGAGCCGTGTTGTGCAAATGTAAACAGAATCACACCCTGCAATGACAGGTACCAACTCTACAAGGACATGAATTAAGACCCCCTGTGAGCTAAACATCAGATTTGCCTCTTCTGTCTCATTCATTACTAACTCAGGGTATATACTTACTGAGTATACTTGCCTCTAGGGTTAATAATCCTTTCAGCAGTAGATTTCTCTGAATTCAGTGACTGACTAGATTAAGACCATCTGAACTACTTAACTTAGTAGGAAACTTTGGCAAAAATTTCTGTGATGTTGTTGGCCTTTAAGGCCAGGATGGTTTTCCAATTTTAAAAAGAGAGATCTGTTGTTGACTGCAATAACCAACCAGTATAAATTGTAAGAGCAAATGAGGTTATCTAGACCTTGCAAACAAATCAAGGTCTGCCCCCAGCCAATTTAAAATTACAGATTAAAGCCCCGAATCTGTAGTTAGGGTAATTGTTGTATTAATTTATAAATACTTGCTTTTTTCCCAGATACTATGATATGTTCACCAGAAAAATTTCAGAAATGAGGATTCGGGATTACTGTTTACCATTTTCTGTCTCCCTTCAGACCATATTCAGAAGTTCATTTTTATCTGGAAGGACCCCAGGAAGTGTGGTCTAGCTTCATTGGCTCTAACTGAACTTGAGGTGCTAGCTTGGTTTCTAGGCTATCTCAGCCATTTGTGACCTCCCTTTGAGGGATTCCCTGAGGAAAAGGGTTCACAGTCTCATTTGTGGTGCTGTTGCTGGCAACACTGACACAACCGCAACCTTCTCTTTAGACCAAAATGAGATTAACACTTCTGTGTCTCAGAACCTACTTCATCTTTCTCTGTCCCTATTTCTTTCTGCAGCTAGAGATAATGCAGTGGCTCCAGACCTAGCTTTTAATACTTAGTTAGTCCTAACCAGGCCATCCTTAGACCTTGGCCTTCTGAAAACCCCTATTCCTTCCTAAATGGAGAGGCCTTGCAATTTTTTTCTAAGATGGGAACAAAGCAATAGCCCCATGTCATTATCCACCAAGAGCCTTCTTGCCAGTAGATCAGAGTTTCCCAGTTACTTCTAAAGCCCAAGTTATAAGTAGGTTCATACTGTCCAGAGAGGCCATTTCACTGGAGCTACGGAAATGCTCTGAGTCTTTTGTCTGTCTAGTCCCAAGATCCAAATATCTCTGTCCTTAGATAGCATTGTGGGGGAACATCTAAGGTTAGCTCCCTTCGATGCTGCTCCTACTTAGGTGCCATCTTCTGAGCAGTCACTAAAGCTGTTTCTGTCTAGTTCCCCAAGCTAGCAATGATCTGGAAAAGTTAGAAAGTACAGGGCCTCCAAACTTCCTGGGCCTGATCTGCCAACCATTAGTCTTCCATTTCTCTGACAGTCCCCTTCAAAGCACGCACTGCTACTAAATAGTACGTAGACTAGACAAAAATTTCAAACAGGCTCTTTGTGTCAGGATGTTTATAAGTAAAGCTTAGATCCTTTGGAATTTTCCTGAAAAGATGCTCTGTCAACTTGGAGCATAATAGTTGCTGTGTATAAAACATATCTCTACAAAGGCAACATAAAAACACCCTCTTTAAATTTTCAGGACTTGAATCTAAATACTTTATGATGCAAATTAGATAGGTAGGTAGGTAGACTCAATACTGTGTAGGTAGATGCAATTCAAGCAGTGTTACTGTCGTCATTTTATATCATGACTGTAAACATGATTTTAAAACTGTCTATTAGAGGTAGTTGAATGCAGTTCACTATTAGCCACAGAATTGGAATCTCTTTGAAAGTGTAATAAACAAATGAAAACCAGGATGGTAAAAATTGGAATTGACAATAGATACAAAGGATGTGCCCTTCAGGAAGCTTGATATATTAATATTTCACTTTTGGAGGCATTTATTAAGAGAAAATTCTCATCTCCTCCTTGACCACTTTTTTGCAACTTTTCTTGCTACTTACAGCAATTGTACATTGGCAAAATGATACTAGTCAGAGCTTACATAGACTTGCAGACTAAATTTCAAGTGCAAAATTGCAGAGGTACTAGTTACAGTGAAAACTGTATTTGCTCACATTGGTAACATCTAGTTTAAATAGTCTTTTTTGTAGTGATCCTTTGAAGATGATACTGGAGTATAAGAAGACTTTTTTTAAGTTCCCATAATACATTTATGGAAGATGCTGCTGCTGCAATACCATTTCCATTTGTGGTAGATCTAGCAGATTTCTGATCAGAACTTCACTAAATTTAAAAAAAAAATTTTTTTTTTCTCTTAACCTTATACCCCTTTAATTAAATTTTAGACAGGAGCCCAGTATTATTAAGCAAATAAAAGTAGAGCTTCTATAGTTGAAATGGAAGGAGGGATGCCTGAAGTCCCAACTGTGGACCTACCAAAGTGTAATCCAGGGGGTGTGATGGGGGTGTGTAGGGTGTAGCTGTGTTTCATTCATTCAGCCAGCAGAAAGTGTGTATTATGCAAGGTATAGGCTATATAGTAATCCAAAGACATAAAGATAATTACCTAGGAACTTTTTTCCTAGGATTTTTTCTTTTAAAATCATACACAAGGATTTACAAACTGTGAGCCAGAAAAGAAATAAACCTCTTTCGAGCCTGTTTTAAGGAAATCCTATGTTCAGAGAAATATGTTTTTTATCAGCAGTATGGCTTTGGCCAATGATTATGTTCTACAGAATGGCCCCATGATGAACTGACCCATCAAAAGTAGAAAACCAAGGCAAGGATATGGGTATACTTTTGTTATAATATGATATGAAAACAATAGTGGATATGCTACTGAAACATCAGGATGGCTGCAGTTGTCTCATGGGCTCATTAAACAGCTTGATCTATGCCACTAACGATAGAATAAGAATTGCAATTTAGGGTGATGAACCCAGAATTATATTCCATTAGCAGCACATTAACTGATCTGAAACAGTGCACATAAGGAGAGAATAGTCAAGTATCTGTGTATCTGTCGTACAGTAACGTGTCAAGTAATTCTAAGCTGTGTGAGGTCAGAAAGTTGACTGTGTGGATTCATGAAGTCCAGAATTGGACAATGTGGTTAAGCTGCAAACTATATTAAAATGGCACCTTCAGAAAGATGACCCTGCCTTGTAATGGTACCTCTTTTTAAGTGCAGAATTTTAATGATGTGTAGGCCTCCAAGGTAGGGTAAGAAAGAGTGACATTCTCTAGCTGGAAACTAGAACTTTAGGGAAAAAGCACAATTTATGTATACAGAGATCTAAAAGGATATGAAGACAAAATGCTACCTGCTCATGGCCCTTTCATTCATTCATCCCTTTCCTTATGATTATGTGTGTTTTCTTGTCATTATATATATGTCTCATACAGTTAAATTTACTAGGATTTTTGTACTTTTTTATATGCTTTATAGGGGGCTAATGAACAAAGTCTTGAATTATGTTTTTTATACTTATAAATGAATAGCTGTAATTTTCAGCCTAAATAAGATAGTGCTGATATTTTGTATTTGACTTTCCTAAGTTATATATTTAAATCTTATTTATTTTACCTTGCATTAAGAAATATTTCATAGTCTGAAAGCCTGAAACCATAGCTTTTCTTTAGAGGTCCAATAAATTGTAACATCATAATGATGATATTTTTAATAATGTTGTCAGACTCTTTTATATCCATCCAATTTTTTCCCCATTGTCAGCTATTCCAGGACAAGAATTTTTGTCTTTTCTTCTTTTTGTGTCTGGTCTGCATTACATTAAATTTTAGTCAGTGCTTTTGACTCAGAGGATATGATACTCAACTGTGATGAACTCTTTATAGTGTGGAATTAAACTGAACAGCTATATCCCCAGAACTTCACATGGCTGCCTTGTTTTCATCATTCAAATCTTTGAAGTGTCACCTCCATACAGAGGTATATTCTGGCCACCTCTCTATTGGGATATCCCAGAACTATAGTTCATGTCCTTCAGAGTTTGAGCCCATCTGCAAGTATGCCTGTTTGTGCTCCTTTTCCTACGCTGTAGACGATCTTTGACAGCAAGGATTTGTTTATAGTTACTGATGCCTAAACTAGTACCTAACATAGCAGGTGCTTAATAAGTATTTGTTGACTGACTGATTTGGGGTCTATTTAATCTTAACTTTTGAATAACATTTGCATGTGAATTTTATTTTCCTTTTCTTTTTCAGTTTTTCAGAAACATTGGAACTTGCAGATGACATGGCCATTGATATTCCCCATATTTGGTTGTACCTTGCTGAACTGGTGACCCCCATGTTAAAAGAAGGCGGAATCTCCATGAGAGAACTTATCATGTAAGTTGTACTTGTTTCTTTTGATACATACCAAGCTAAACTGACACAAAACTCATCAGCCAGCTCTCTAGTATAGTACTGTTCACTTAGTGCCTTTAGAGACCCTTGGATGCAGCCTATGACCCTTGAAGACTTCTCATTTCAGTATTAAAATGTTATGGTACACGAGTTCTAGACTGGAGAAGTGTCAGGGATATATATGATAGCCTGGTGGTAGCAGTGATTATAAACATGGCCCCAGACTCATGTCACTGGAAGGCCATTGCTCCTGGAAGCTTAATGTAATCTGACTTTTATGTCTATCATGGCTTAAATGTTGCAAAAAATTATATTTCCACATAATAGCTTGTCAGTCTGTGACACCTGCATAATATGTGCTTCTGTTATAGTAAAAGACAGTTCCAAGATTTGTACCTGGGGAAATTGTTCTGACCTTGTATAGCAAAGTATTTCCCAAACTTCTTCAAAACATTTGTATTTTCCTCAAAACTGTTCATATAGTCAGATTCTACATACTTTTGTGTCCCTTTTTTATGAGATTCACAAAGTGTAGTATAGTACATTAGAGATTATGATAATCCTATTAGTAAAAAAAACTATTTAGCTTTGTGTATTTCAGCATCACCTCACTTGATTGTAGAATCCTTTTTTAAGGAATAACTATTGATATCCTGTGGAACATAGTTTGGGAAATACTGAATCAGACTATGAAAAATTTGGTTCCTTTCTGTTTCATTCATATTCTAAAAAAGAGCCCCCTTTCTAAAAAGTACTTCATAATTAAGCTTCACAACACCCTGTTACCTAAGGTGCTTCTCTCCTTTCAGCTTGAAGTGGAGTTTATATAAATAAGCAGATTATTAAGTGAGACTGATCCTTGCATTGTTTCTCTCACTGAATCAGTTAAAGAAAAAGGCAAAGGCCAGGAATTCCAGATCGTTTTCCAGCTCCTCTGTGAAGCAAAAAGTGAACCTGAAGTCTTTGAACTACTTTTGCTAAAAATTATTTAGAGCGTGTCCTAGAGCTTTGGCTTACCCAGTGTTATTAGATTGCATAATATCTGTTCTGTTCTTTTGGCACACACTGTTTGCCTAATGTTCTAGGACTGGGAATTTGTTCCGAGGTACTCAATCATCACTTCAATCTTTTACAGAGAATTTAGCAAACCCTTACTTCCTGTTGGAAGAGCTGGTGTCTTGCTTTCTGAAATATTGCACCTTCTATGCAAACAAATGGTGAGTGTTAAACTGAGATTCAGACTCAGCAGCATATTAAGGTCATGGATTTTAAACATGGATTATCTCTGAATAGCTTAGGTATCACTGTGCAAGTAATTCTGTTTCCTTTTATTATTTGTAAAGAGGAATGAGGTCTCTGTTTCAACAAGGTTTCTTCCAGAGATGTTATTTCTCCTTCTGTTTACTAATAACTTGGGAAAAAACTATGTAATTTCAATCAGAGTTGGTTTAATTCTCAAGAATCTCAAGGTACGTTTTATTTGTGGCTAGTCAGTTTATCTTCTCTTTAACAAAATGCAACATTATTTATACTTCTTAACAGATTTTAATGAAAACTGCTTTCAGAGAAAAATAGGATTCATAAAATGATTAATCTTATTATATTTGGTTCACAGGTTAGGTAATCTATTTAGAAGTAGGTGGTAAAAATGATTCTGCAGGAATGTAAATTCCTAGCTTTAAGTTAAATTTTCTTTAGTTTAATAAATACTGCACAATTCTCTGCAAAACTCTATGCTAGAATCTCAGCCTACAAAGATAGCTAAACCTTCAAAGAATTTATAAACTAAAGAGGACAACAGACAAGTCTAAACCAGTAGTTTCGGAAGTGTGCATCGGTGCTGTTAGAGGTCTAAGAGGTTTGGGAAAGCAGTGTGACATCACTAAGCTGCTGTCAACACCTGGGGTGAGAGACATCAAAACAAAACTCATTCACAAAAATTCCGAAGTAATTTCTGATTTATTCAAACCAGAACCAAAGACAATTGGGATAATAGATTTCAGTGTTTCATAGGCATTGATTTTTTATTATTATTTAATTTCTCCCTCTGAATCTACAGAAGTCTTTCTGTATAACATTTGTGTGAGAGTTGTTCATAGGCAGTCTGAAAAGCCTGGTCCCTAGTTCTAATTGAATAATGTATTTGTTATTAATACTCTGCTTGATGGCATTAAAGTTTCTCTTGAACTCTATAATGAGTAGGTCCAAAATTCCCTCTTCTGTTACCTACTTACCTTCGTCCTTATTTAAAAGTCAAACTGTTGTCAAGTTTTATTTGTAGAAACAAAGCAAGTTCTCACTTCTAACTAAAACCAAATTCTCATAGACATGAACTCTGGCTTCAGTACTGGCTTTGCCAAATTATCGGCTACGCCTTGGGCAGGTCACTCCATGAAATAATTAATATATGTTCCTTAGATGACAGCCGCAGCCTCAAAGCCTGGCGTTTTCCTTGCTCGCTGTGATGCTGTTCAGACAGTGAACTTGCACCTCCTCCTCCCTCTCCCAGCTGACAGCAGTACTCTTTTGTTTCCTGAGCTCAGCTTTGGCTTCTTGCCCTTGAAATACTTCTCATTCCTGGTTCAGGAGAAGCAACTTGCTTTGTCGCTCTCCAGTTAGGCAGCATGATCATGTTGCGGATTCAAGAGGGATTCCAGTGAGGCCTTTTGAATGACTTTAATAGCAGGTACATATAACATTATCTGGGAAGAGAGACAGTGTTGAATGTTGAAACTCTGCACATTGGACTCTTTTTAGGTGATTATATTCCTAAGTCTCAAACACCAGCTTTTACTTCCCCAGATTAGTCTATAAAATAAATTATTGAACCTAAAACAGCTGTTATTTCAGTCTATGACCACCAAGAATCCTAAAATTAACTTCCTCTCATCAAGGAAAAGTTCAGGTTTTTGGTCTTTACAGTTCTGCATTCTTGACTTCAAGCAAGCCTTTTTTTCTCCCCCTCCTTCCAATATGAAAGTAAATGGATTGGACTTCTCTCTGTTGTAGAGCCATAAGAAAGTGGGAGCTTTATGGAGGGAGGCTGACCTCACCTGGAAGGACTTTTTACCAGAAGGGGAAGATGTACATAATTTTCTCTTGGAGCAGGTAAGAACAAGGCTTACACCTTCCTGTTAGGTAGTCTTTGGTCTGTTTCATGGGGGAAATGAAGGTAATTTCATTAATTTTTCTGGTCATTAAGAATTAACCAAAGTAGGAGTCTTGGTTAAGATATCATTTTAAGTCCATGTTATGAGGCCACTCCAAATATTCATTCATTAGATAGTAGATAAAAAAAATTTTTAATAAGAACTTAGCTATACTTAGAAAACAAGCTATGTATCTCCATGAACTGAAATGAAATTGAAAATTAAAGCAGGGGTAGTAGGGCTAATGCTACAAGTCTTCTGAGCACTGGTTCTGAAAGCAGACAGAGATAGTCAGATTTTATTTCTATCAGGTAATGGGAAGTAAAATGCCCCTTGCAAGGCAGAGAATTGAAGGACAGGCTTACTACATGAAACCAAGTGTGCTCTCTACAGATAAATAAGTACCAGGAAATAGACAGTCTTAACAGCCAGAACCTTAGCAAGCCTACCTACTGACTTGGTAATGGATCCAGAAGTCCAGAAGACAGAAGACAGAAGGTCTATATAATCTGGTCTTAAACAAAAGAATTGTGGGGGTTTAGATAGAGGCAGCCATAAACTTACTAGAGCAGGAAGAGTTGACAGACAAAGAAAATTAAAAACTCCCTCTCAAATGATCCTGCTAATCAAATCCTAAAACATGGGAGTCAGAAACAATCATAAAAGATAATAAAAAATATTTTGAACTGAATGAAAATGAAAACACAACATATCAAAATTTCTGGGATGCAACTAAAGCAATACTGAAATTTTTAGCAGTGAACATGTGTATTTGGAAAAGGAATGAGGTCAACAAGTCAGCAGCCACAGCTTCAACCTTACAAAGTCAGAAAAAAAAAGAGCAAATGAAATTCAAAGTAAATAGAAAAAAGGAAATAATAAAGATCAGAGCAGAAATCAATGAAACAAAAGCAGGAAAAGTCAGTGAAGTCAAAAGCTGGTTCTTTGAGAAGATAAAATCAATAAACCTCTAGCCAGACTAAACAGGAAAAAATTAAAAAGACAAGGTATAAGTTACCAATAAAAAGAATGAAAGGTGACATTGTATAGACCTGCACAGAATAATGAAAAGAGAAATCTACGAATAGTTTTTATGCCAATATATGCATCAACTTATCTGAACCCACTTCTTGAAAGATACAAACTACTAGAGTTGACTCAACAGTAGATAATCTGAATATCTACTAAAGAAATTGAAGTGGTTAAAAACTTCCCCACAAAGAAAATTCCAGATCCCAATGGCTTCACTGGTGAATTCTACCAGACACTTAAAGGAAGAATACCAATTCTGCAAAGAATTCTACACCAATTAATTCTTTCATAAATTAAAGAGGAGAGACCACTTTCCAACACATTTGAGGCCAGCATTATTCTGGTAACAAAACCACATAAAGACAATTCAAGAAAAGAAGACTATAAACCAGAATTCCTAATTAACAAAGAAAAAAATTTCTCAGTGAAATTTTCACAAATCCAACAAAATAAAAAGGATAATATACTCAACTAGGGTTTATCAAGAATGTAAGATTGGTTTAACATTCAAAAACAATGTATGGACGTAGGGAAGATGGAGTAAAAATCTCCATAATTAGTCCCTCCACTGAAGCAACTATTTGCTGACAAGATGTGTTAGAATCAGCTATTTTTGCAATTGTGGAATCTAGTCAAAATGTGCATTACCAAAACCAGAGGAATACTTGATGAAAAGAGTAAATTTCATCAAAACCAGAGGAATACTTGATGAAAAGAGTAAATTTCAGGGACTGGCATTTTGCATAGAAGCTACCAGCCCTCAGCCCTATGGTAGACAGCTGGAGACAATGGTACCTCCTTTCTAGTGCAGCTTTCTGGTGCCAGGTTGACCTTGTCCTCCAGAGATTGGTGTTGTGTCTTTCAATCTGCCTGGCAGGGTCCAATGCAGGGCCTTTGGCCATGGTTTCAACTCTTCAGGCTGAAGTGGTTTCCTGGTGTCTGTCAAAGAATTTAAAGAAACAACACATTCATGTCTCTCCCATCTGCCTCCTCTCTCTCTCTTTTTTTCACTGGATCCAGGTATTTACTGAAATCTCTGAAAGGTCATTGGCTGACTGTGGAGATAATGGATTAGAGACTTATATGACAACACATTAGAAGGAATGTAGTCCTACCTAAAAGTCACAGACCAAACAGATGACTGTAACATCAGCAATCCCTTGGGGAATGAAGAGAATCCAGTTATTATACTGCAATATTCAAACGTCTCATTCTCAACAAAAAATATGAGCATACAAAGAAACAGAAAAATATGCTCATTTATAGGAAAGAAAATTGACAGGAAGCATCCCTGAGGCAGCCCAAAGACAAAGACTTTACTAGACAAGGACTTTAATTATTTTAAACATGCTCAAATTGTTGAAGGAAACCATGGACAAAGAACTAAAGGAAATCAGGAGAATGGTGTATCAAAACAAATTGGGAATATCAAGAGGTAGAAGTTATAAAAAGGATCCAAATGGAAATTCTGGTACTAAAAATTATTAATAGCTGAAAAATTAACTAGAGGAATTCAACAACAGATGTGAGCAGTCAAAGAAAGAATAAGCAAACTTGAATACAGGGCAGTTGAAATTGCTCTATCAGGAGTCACTGATTTGGCATTAATTTTTGCAACAGATAGGTGGTTCTTTAATTGTTTTCTAATGAAATATCTGGGGTTATCAAACTATGAATATCATTGAATTTTTTAAATAAAACAGTTCCTATAGTAATTTATATTTAAAGTAAAAGCCTTAAGTTGTGATGATACATGTGAGAAAAGTAATCCATTGAACATATAAAGAAGTTTTTAAAAGAGGAAATTGCTCAATTTGAGAAGTGGAAGGAAAAATGAATCAAGAAAAATGAACAGTAATTCTAAGGACCTGCTGTAGGATGCCATCAAGTATACCAACATACATATTATAGAATCCCAGGAAAAGAGAGGAAGGGGCAGAAAAAAGTATTTGAGGAAATAATGGCCAGAAACGTCCCAAATTTGACCAAAGATATAAATCTACATATCCAGTAATTTCAATGAACTCTAAGAGGGATAACCGCAAAGAGATTCACACCAAGATATATTACAGTGAAACTGTTGAAAGACAAAAACAAAGAACAAATCTTGCAAGTAGCAAGAGAGAAGTGAGTCATCACATACAAAGAATCCTAGATGAGATTAACAATTTCTCATCAGAACCACAGAGGTCAGAAAACACTGGGATGACATATTTAAAGTGCTGAAATTTTAAAACTATCAACCAAGACTTCTGTATCTGGCAAAATTTCCTCAAAAATGAAGAAAAAATGAAGACATCCCCAGATTTAAAAGCTAAGCAAGTTTGTCACCAGTAGACAAGAAATGCTTAAGTCAATCCTTCAGGCCAAAACAAAAGTAAACAAAAAAGCAAGTTCTTGGGGGTTTTTGGTTTGTAGCTTCTCTTTTTTGCGTCCTATACAATTTAGAAGACAAATTGATAAGATATTTATAAATATTAATAGGCCCAAGTAAAGATGTAAATTATGAAAATGATGTAAAGACTGTTTGTCATGGAATTCCCATATGACCCAGAAATTGCACATCTAGGTATATGTCCAAAAGATATGAAAACATATGGCACCCTGGATTCACATCCATTTTTCTACTACTTAATTTGACTTTAAGCAAATTACTTAATTTCTGTAAGCCTCAGATTCCTCACCTGTGACATGCTAATAGTACCTACCTTATAGAATATTTATGGGGATCAAATGAGGTAATGCTTTAAAACTACTGAGAACAGATAGGTAACCAATTACTGATGTTATTGATAAAAATGTTTAAAGGGCAGTTCAAGAAATGAGGTTCCAGAAAACTTGGCCCTCCATATCCTGACTTATAGCTTTCTTCTAAAACAGTTGATTTAATGCCCTTTTTCTGGTAACCCTAGTACATTCTGCAAGAGGTACTGATCCATACATTTGAAGACCAGCCTCCTAGTTTCCAGAAAGATCAGATAATTTATACAGAAACACAGGGGTACTGAGAAACAAGTGTTTCTCTCCTGTGACCAGTATAACTTTATAGCTCACTACTGACTGACTCTCTTTGGTGGTGGTAAAGGCTTTCGTTTTCAGATTTTTATGTCATGTTATTTTATTAATGAGCAATGTACTTCATGTTTGATTTTGTTGTTGTTAATTGCTCTCAGGCCTTAAATTATTTCTGTGAGTTTGGGGTAACTTAAGAAGGTTGAGGAGATATTTTTTGTGGTGTGCTAAGGATGTTAGAATAAATTTGGAGAATGTTTCAAAATTATGAAGAATCAATTCCCTATTCTTCAAAGAACTATGGCCATCATCTTGTGCTTTTGTATATATATTAAAGTGTAGAGGTAGGATATTTAATTTATCAACATTAAATGAGAAAAATTGTGATAATGAATCATGTTTCTAAAAGTTTATAGGAAAATGTTATTTAGAAATGCTATATAAGTGATAAAGACAGTCAAAATGATAAGATGAAATTTTTAATCGACAGTATCAAGGTACTTTTTCTTTGTGGATCCAGGAAAGGTATAAGAATATATTACAGACTTTAATATTAGAGAAAAACTTAACCTTAATAATCTTTAATATTTTAATCTTTATGGTTTTTGCACTGTGGAACTTCATAAAGCAAAGCACCTATGTACCTCATTGCCTTACACTCTTGAAAATTACCAGTAATTTTGATATTGATTTTAACTATCTAAGAGCTAAACAGTGTGGCATCATTTTACCCACTTGGAGTCTTAGAATGGTCAGGAGATGGTATGAAGGACTTAACAAGACCTAAACTACAGGATTTTGACAGTTGCTCTGTGACCTTACTGATGGTAAGCCATAGGCTGCAGAAAGGGACATGCAGTGTACCCTTGGTAGTGCTGCCCTGCCTGAAAACTTAAGTCACAGCTAAGAGCAAGCCTGACGCTCAGAATGATTGGAGGTAAGCATAACAGCCAGATAGGTAATTCTAGGGGTTTAGTTTGTTTGCTTATTTTTTAAGGAGAATCAGAGATACACAATATAACAAGTTGAAAGAAATAATCAGGAGGATAGTAGAATGAGAATCTTCAAGAACCATAAATATAAAATGTCTTCTGCTAATCATTTGACCCATGTAAAATAGAAAGTATATAGCCCATGACTTTTTCTTCTCAGGGCATTAATAATACTGAATTATATTAATACTTTTAACATTTTATATTTCAGAAGTTGGACTTTATAGAGTCTGACAGTTCCTGTTCCTCTGAAGCACTTTCAAAGAAAGAACTCTCTGCTGAAGAGCTATATAAGCGACTTGAGAAACTCATTATTGAGGACAAAGTGAATGATGAACAAATCTTTGACTGGATAGAGGTATAAAGACTATGTCACCTTTCCTGATACCTATGCAAGAAAGATTCTTGTGAGAATCCCCTAATTCATTCACCTACTCTTTCACTTCATGGGAATATTTAACTTTAATGAAGTTAGTTTTTATTCTTTCATGTATATATATTTAAAACTCTAAGGCTGTTTTTCTATTTTTATAAGATTACTAGTCTTCTGTAAAGTCAAGTAAAAATATTCATAACAAGCCATTTTTCTGGGTCCCTCATTAGTTTAGGAAGTAACCTACACTTTTCCATTCAAAAAAATTTATTTCTTTCTAATTCTCACATTCTAAATACTATCCTAGATAAAATTAATAAGTAATACATAATTATTATGAAATGTATTGGCTTTCTTTTATTGAAGTATAATTGGTATACAATGTTGGTTTCAAGTATTCAATATACAGTTTGACAGCTACATTATTAAATGCTCACCCCAATAAATGTAGTTACTATCTGTCAACATAGAAATATATTACAGTATTACTGACTGCATTCTCTATATACTTTCATCCATGTGACTAATTTATATTGCAATTGAGATTTTATGCCTTTTATCCCCTTCACCTGTTTCACCCCAACTCCTCCCTCATGGTAACTGCCAGTCTCTTCTCTGTCTATGAGCCTATTTCTGTTTTGTTTGTTTTGTTTTGTTTTAGATTGCACATATAAGTGAAATAGGCTTTCATTTTCATAATAATGCTCCCTTCTGAAAATTTGTACCTTATTTATCTTGTGGATTCTATTAACCATATCTGGTGGGGGGTTTTCTATTTATTTTTTCATTGAAATATAGTTTATATGCACTATTATATTGGTTTCAGATGAACATAGTGACTCATCAATTATATGTATTGCTAAATGCTTCCCATTGTAAACGTAGTTACCTTGTGTCCCCATACAAAGATATTACACTATTATGAGCTGTATTGCCTATGCTGTACTTCCATCCCATAATTTGAAGTTTGTATTTCTTTATCCCCTTCACCTATTTCACCTGTCCTCCCACCCCCAGTAACCAACCATCCATTTTTTGTGTTTGTTAGTCAATTTCTGTTTTATTTGTTCATTTCTTTTGTTTTTCAGATTCCACATATAAGTGAAACTACATGGTATTCATCTTTCTCTGACTTATTTCACTTAGCATAATACCCTCTAGGTCCATCCATGTTGTCACAAATGGCAAGATTGTGTTCTTAATGGTTGAATAATAATCCATTGTATATATGTATGATCATGTTTATTTTTAATCTTTTACTATATTCCTTTAAACAATAATTCCTGCTTATGTAGGTGTGTTTTATTTGTGCACATTTTCTGTGGGAATCATATTATAATCCAAATTGAAAGAAAGCCATGGAGGATTAATCTCTCCATTTTATATAAATCCTCTTTTATAGTCCTTCTAATGGGTTGTTGTTTCTTTAACACTCCCAGATATTGAGAAATAATGAAGCTTCTGATAATTTGTCTTTATACCTGTTTTCCCTGATGTCTATACAGGATAATAAATCTGTCCTCTCACCTAGTTGGGAGTCTTTCAATTAATTGAAGTCGTTCTATCACTATATCCCTGTCTCCCTCTCTAGGTTCTTTCATCTTTTCTTGAAATCTTGATATCCCAATCCTGGTATGGTTACTCTTATCCTAACATAGCCTGGGTTTTCATGGGCAGACAACATGATCACCAGGTGCCCACCAATGTAGTTCAATGGTGCTATTGCATTTTTTGTTTTGGACTCGGCTTCTGGCAGGCTCACCACACTGAACTCAATTTGCTCTTTCTATCATGTAGTACTCATTCTTTTATGTTCTGCAATTCAGCCATCTCTCATCCCAAACTTATTTGGTTTTTGAACCAAAATAGGGTTTTAAAGATTTATTTCTGTTTATGTTCGTCTTTTAAAATTAGACATATTTTTAGTCTGTCAGGACCATTCTTACTTGGTCACAAAATTTGCTTGTCATCTTTTTCACTTTGCATTTCATTAATATGCCAATTTTGTTATTATCCAAGTTAGGGGTCAAATGTGTGAATGGGGTAGGGCCAAAGTCAAAGCAGCATACTTTCAGGGACCAAACCCCTCCCTCACCTCCGTGGACACTTAACACTGTTAACCTGTTAGTTGTTTCACATCATTCTGCGGTCTAGTTCACCTTTTCATTGCGCACAAAGGATAGCTATCAATTTGTCAAATGCCTTGCTGAAGTCAAGAGCAGGCATGCTTATGTCCATCTGAGCTGCCATATACTAATCAGATCAGAAAAGGAAAGAAGCCTAGTTTAGCATGAGTTGTTTTACATGTGCTTATTTATTCCTCTTAGCATAACCATCTTTTTCCTCTCTAGACTTTTAAACCATGCATGTGATACTGTGTTGCAGAATTTAGCATAGAATCAACATTAGGCTTTCTGATATGTTTTTGAAATCATATACCTTCTTTTCTGTTTTAGAAGTCAGGTCAGTGTTTGCATATTTACATAATAGCAGCTGAGCTCACAGTATATATAGACGTTCGTTGGTCTGTGTAAGATATTAGTATTATGTAAATCTGATTTTACTTTTCTATCCCAACTAGCAGACCTATCTTCATTCTTATTCTTGCCCATTTTTGTTAACATCTTTGCTTAATGTACACTTTAGTGTTCTTGATCATATTCTTCAGGTCTATTCTATTCTTGAATATTAGAATTACAATATTTGACTTTATTTGGTAGAAGAAATGTACAACTTATTTCTTTGTAACGATCAACAGAAGAAGCAATTAAATAGTTTGGAAGTGGTATTTATTATCTAATATGTTTAGCTAATTTATTTTTCTCAGACTGCCTGAAATCTAATCATTTGGGGATTTCAAATGATATTCAGTGCTTGAAATAATTCCATCAATTGTTTATAAAATATTGTTGAGCCAAAAAGTAATGGTGTGTTTTTATTCATTTATTCTTCAAAGGCAGTTGTTTGGCCTTTGCAAAAGTAACTTCTGGTCCTAGACAAGCCTGGCTTTTGCCTAAATAAAGTATTTTTTAAGGAGATTACAAACTAGCAACTGGCTATAACACATAAATCATGAAATCTTTGATGTGTGGCCCTTGTCCCACCCCATCCCAATTTTACCTGTCAGCAGTGGCACATGTACCCTTTCTGAGAGAAAAAAACTGGTAATTAAACTTACGGTAACACAGCCCTCCATGTTCAGCTCTGCTGGTGTCTCGCAGAGCCGGCCATCTGACTTGTCAACAACTCTTAACTCTGCTCTACAAAGACTACCAGTTCCTCCCAAGTGATAGGTTTCCACAGAGAGCTGCTACTTAATCTATATCAGTTCTAAAATTCATGAACATTAAACTGATCTCTAAATATCTTTGAAATTCTTAGCTTTCTAACATCTTTAATTTTTTCCTGGCCAGTCATTTTAAGGCTGACTCTTTCTGTGGAAAATACTATGCTATGCTATTAAAAAAGAAGCTGAAACAAACATTAATTCTATTCACAGGCATAAGGAACATAAACTTTGAAAAATATTTTAAATACCTGCCTAGAAAATGTCTCCTTTTGTTTGTTTCATTTTGCTACTCATCTCATCTCGTTTAGTACAGTGTTTTGCAGCAAAAATATAAGATCTTAGAAGAAGCAAACTAAACAATAGTTTTGGTCTTGTTTACTTAACATTTCTCTAAATATATGTATTTTTTTGCCTTCCTTAGAAAAAAGTAACAATTTTCTCACTACCACCTAAATGGTTTGTTTGAGGCAGTGATTGAGATTAATCCCTAATTCACATTTTAACTAAGATGAAAAAGCAGTGTTAGCATATCTAAAAATAGTTGCACACTACTGAGAAAAGTAGTCCTTAAAATACACTGGTTGTGGCGTGGTTTTTCAGATTTATAGATTTGGATAGATTATCTGGATATTGGTCATTTATTGAGGAAGAAAGATGTTTTTAAATGGTTGTACTTCCAAATGTATATAGTACACAGCACTGTATATATAATTCAATGGGCAAAGGATATGTAGCAGTGAACTCCTTGAATACTAAATATTGCGAACATTTTCAGACAGAACTGGCAGCAGGCCAAGTATTTTCCAATGAGTCAGAAGATTAATTTTGCAAGAAGGTTGAATGTGGCCCCATCTGCCCTTAGTGTCAGATGATACCTGGTCTGGGGAAATAATTTCTCTGGTGTGCAGGGTTACCTTTAACTGTCCCACTTACTTTTGATTTCAGGCTAATCTAGATGAAAACCAGATGAGTTCACCTACATTCCTTAGAGCTTTAATGACAGCCGTTTGTAAAGCAGCTATTGTAGGTAAGTAACATTTTTTAGGACAGCTTTTATCACCCGAAACCCCCAGTATGGGTGTTACGAGTGTCTGAGTTTATACTGTCTTTAAAACCTGCTCTATATACCTCAGTTTCTGTGCAAATGGGTGCTATTTCTGTGTGTGCCTGGCTATCTCAAGCAGGGAGACAAATAGCTACTCTGCCTGCTGTTTGTATTCACGAAGCTACTCCATGCTTTGTGTTCTTCAATTCAGTAGAAAGTTAGTGCACATTCCTTGGGTTGCCATACATTCTGTTGCATGTGACTTTTCCTTTACTTTTCACTTTCCACATTCAGAACCTCCTTCTTCTTCCCATTCAAGAGCTGTAATGAATGGGTTGAATATTCCTAACCTAATATCAAGAGCTAATTGCAACTAAAAGCCATTTTATGCAAATACATATATGAGGAAAGAAAATACCAAATTGTTTCTTTTGCTTTATGTTTACTTTATATGATAAGACAGTTTTATTGAATGCTTATTAGTTATATAGATAGATAGGATTAGTATTGGTAGAAACCCTGTATATTCCAAGGTGCATCACGTTTTTAACAATATATGAGATCATCCACTTAACCTCAAATAGAAATCCACATTTATGTCACTGAAATGGAAAAGAAAAATCTATCAGAATTTCAGGTGTTTTTGTCATTTTAGAAGGTACCTTCAGAATTATAATTTACGATTTTTCTGTCAGATCAATGTTTTTTCAATGCTAGTTCATTAATGAGGTAGATAACCAACTAAATATAGGAAGTCATCATAAAAAAATTTTAAATCATTTCCAGAATCGATAGACTCATAAGACTTTGATATTTTAAAATCAGAGGACAGGAAACTATAAGAGCTGTTTTTTTTTAATTCATTTTGTTATTATTAATCTACAATTACATGAAGAATATTATGTTTACTAGACTCCCCCCTTCACCAAGTCCCCCCTACAAACCCCATTACAGTCACTGTCCATCAGCGTAGTAAGTTGCTGTATATAAGAGCTGTTTTTAAAAACAAGATTGTGTCCTAGTGCTAACTTTCAGAGAAGAACCTTGTGCTTCCCCTGAGGATTTTCCTTGACCCTTTTTATTGTGCCTTTCCCTGCAAAGGCCTAGATTATGTGTTATTTGCCACTGCCAGAGGTAGTCCTCATCTTCCCAGTAATAATAGAATGATTCTAATTCTTTAACCTTCTGAAAAGATTTGCATGAACTGTCATTTTGTCATCCTTTTAATGTTACCTTTGTAGTTTGGAATATTATAAAACTCCTCTCCCTGGTTCGTTCAGATTAAAGATAAAGAATTGGGTGTGCTACTCTTAAGGGAACCCAACACCCAAAGTATATCCCCCCCCTCTATGTTTTTTAATATTTCAGAGAGTGTCCCATTAAGAATTTCAGAACATTTTGGATTTAAAAGTATTTGCCTTTGAATTCCCTTGCTTCCTCTTTCCTTGCTAAGTCATATGTGTTTGACTAACTCAGAAAATTGAAAATGGCTCTGTGTGTTAACTCCTTAAATGTAATGCTCAGTTCTTCTCCTACCTCTAGCTGACTTTTCAACCTTCCGGGTGGACACTGCTGTTATCAAGCAAAGAGTGCCGATCTTACTCAAGTACCTAGACTCAGATACAGAGAAGGAACTGCAAGCACTTTATGCACTACAAGCATCGATAGTAAAGCTTGATCAACCTGCCAGTAAGTTTACCTCTTGTGACAATGAACCCAACCAATTGGTGAAATTTATCTAGACCAAGACTTCAGGAATGGTTTGATGGTTTTGAAAGTGGATAATAAAAGAATCACTAGTAATAAATACTCAGATAACCAATAACTGCAATAAACCTAAAATTTTAGTGTATTTATGAGAAAATGATAATAAGAAAATAATTTATAATAGGGACTTCATCCTTATTCTAGGGCAGATCTGTTTAATAAAAGTTTCTGCTATGTTGGACTCATATATCTGCATCATGCAGTATGGTAACCAGAAGCCACATGTTTCAGTTGAACACTTGAATGTGGCTATTGTGATTAAGGAATTAAATTTTAAATTGTATTTAATTTAAATGTAAACAGCCACATGTTCTTTAGTGGCTACCCTACTGGACAGAGCAAGTTTAGGGCATCGCAGAATCAGCATACATGCAGTACAGTCTGTCACCTTCTTTGACACAAGTGGTAGTAATAAGAGGATGGTACTCTTCCGAATCTTCAGACACCTAATAAAGACATTAGCGTTTTAGACTAGTTTTTGATTAAGGGCTGTGATTCTTGGCCTAACCAGACAAAGAAGGTATTCTGAACACCCAAGTCTCAGTGATACTGGTCTATTAACTGAATTGTATTGAATCTTGAAAATTCAGCTGAAACTTGTGAAAGTGAGTAGTACATAGCTATTTTAGAGATTGCATTTAGGTAGTTCTTCAGCACTTCCTTAGGTTGTGGCTGTGGCAGTTTTCCTTCTTCGCTAGTGCTAGTGAATCCCCCTGGGAAATAAAGGAGAAAACAAACAAATGATCTTCAGAGTGTAACTGAAGAGACATCTAAGATACCTGAATCAGAGAATTAATCTGACTTTGTTTTATCTCAGGACCTTTGAATGGTCATTTAACATCATGGCTTCCTTTTTCTGTTCTTAAAGGATGAAAACATAATAATTTTACAGGAGATGGTTAAGTAGTCAGATGAAATTGATGCTGTGTGCTCAGCCAAATTAAAGTGTCTCCTGTAATTACCAGTTTCAATAATCCCTGGAGGGATGTTTAATTCTAGAATTTACCACCAGTAGAATCCTGGCCACTGGTTTCCATTTCCCCATAGACTAACTGATATTTATGACTTCAATACTAGCTTGACTAATAAACTTAGGTAAATCTAAAGAAAAACTTTAATATATGACTAGTTCTAAATCTGATACTTATTAGTAATTATTGTTTTTACTCTATTGCCCCCCTCCATTAATATGAATGGTCAGTGAGCTGACTTTAAATGAATACCCCATTATGAAGGAATTTTCAAAAAAAACTATATAACTCTACCAGCTTTTTTTTTTGAATAATAATATAAGCTAAGTTTCCATTGTGAAAGCAAACAAAGAATTAAAATTGCCCAGATTGGGGTATTTTACAAAACAACAAACAAAAGTTATCATTTCTAATGGATAAAGCCCAGGTGAGATAAGCTTTTACCCATATTTTTCATATAAATTATTACTATTTTCATTTTGAAAACAATATTAGAAGGGGAGGAGTATATCCTGCCTTTGAATCCCAAAATTCGTGAAAATAATATATTTTTATTATAAAATTTCAAACAATGGAGAAATGTGTAAAGAAGAAAGTAAAAAAATTCTTATATTTGATCTTTAAAGTGTTTAGGTTGAAAACTACCTAATATCAAACAGCTCAGCAATATCAGAAAATAGTTCAAATTGAATAAAATATTAGGACTATAAAATAATGCAGATTGCCTTGATCTTCTTTTCCTGTTTTTTAGACAATTAATTTGCTATTATGCCATCAGCAGGGACTATGATACATTGTCATGGTTGTTCTTCTCTTAGGGTGGTTAACATGCATTTCTTCATTGCTTGGAAATACAGTCTTTTCCCTCACAACTGCAGTGTTGCCAAAACTGATGACTTATTTTCACTCACTTGCAGATCTGCTACGGATGTTCTTTGATTGCCTGTATGATGAGGAGGTGATCTCCGAGGACGCCTTCTACAAGTGGGAAAGCAGCAAGGACCCCGCAGAGCAGAATGGGAAGGGTGTGGCCCTGAAATCTGTCACAGCATTTTTCACATGGTTGCGGGAAGCCGAAGAGGAGTCTGAGGATAACTAAAGCTCCAAATACACAAAATGAAACAAAAGAAAGAATTTAAGTATTTTTTTAAAAAGTTTCACGTCTTCGCCAATCACAGTGCAGCAAGGCCAATTCTCGCAGAAACCCCCACGTGTGCACGAGTGGGAGAGGGGAAAGAGAAAAAAAAGGTGATCATGGAGGAAAAAGGTACTGCAAAAAAAGTAAACTTCAACCTGAGGGCGGGAGCACTAAAACCAAAATACATGTATTATTTATAGAAAATATTTTCTGTTTTAATCTTTTCTTTTTAAACAAGGACTTATACTTTAAAAAACATATCTGTTTAGCAAAAAAAAAAGTTAAGAACTTTTAATTTATTTTAAGAACTGCAAATGCCAATGTAATTTTTTAATTTGCAGTTTCTGTAAACAACTTGTATAATAGAAAAGCAGAGAAATAAATTTCCCTCCCCTTCAGACGCACCTCACGTTTTTTTTAAAGCATAGTAGTTAGTCCAGATTTAAGAAGGTCTCGGGTGAATAAGGTAAGAAAGATTTTTTTTTGGCATCAAATCTTTCTGCCTGCCTCTCAGCTTGCTTCAGAAAATTTAAAAAATCACAATAGTAATCAAAACATACATAACCTTGGAACAGAAGGAAATGCTGTGGACCAGAGAACTCCAAGAACTGTTTTAAAAAGTGCTACCCTGGGAAAAATACTCTTAATACTTTTGAAATCTTTAGAGCAACTTTAAGGCTTGTAAATACATAGAACAAATATTTAAAAAAAGAAACAACAAAGAAATTGACTCAGTACTATTTCTTTTCATTTTCAAAATATAAAGAACAAAATAAAGATAAACATTGCAAGTTTAAAAGAAAGTAAAGTGACTTCTCCTTTTGACAGCTGCTGCATGTGTGCCCATCTCTGGGAGGTGCTGTCTGGCCATTCCTTGTGTAATCCAAGTAATTCCTCACGATGGCGGGGGCGGGGGAGAAAGAGAGGCGCGCGCGCGCGTGTGTGCGTGTGTGCGTGTGTGTGTGTGTGTGTGTGTGTGTGTGTGCGCGCGTGCGTGCGTGTGTGTGTGTGTGTGTGTGGGCGCGCGTGCATATCCCCGTGTGTGTGTGTGTGTGTGTATTGGCGCGCGTGCATATCCCCGTCCATCCACAGGTGGGAATGGCAAGCTACTTCGTGGATGCTTGGGTCGGGTGGCCCTTCTGGAAGTCCAGGGGAAGCTTCTTTCCAACAGTGACCAGCAATGCATTCAGGGTGGGACCTAAGGGTAACTTTTTAAATGGCTAAGTAAGTGTTCCACTGTATGTCTTAGGGCTGGGCACACTAATTCACTTTGAGACATTCATTACCACTGATTTTAAAAGCATCAATTGCCTGTGATGCTTAAGAAACCCAAAGATGTCTTCTAAAGAATGCAAGAAACCAAAGCTAAATTACACTTTTAAAAAAGGCCTAGGGTTTCAAACCAAACCAATACCATGTATGAAAATCACATTTTTCCCTTCCTTCAGCTTTGCTCAAGCCATTCCAGTGAGTAATTGTTTGGGGCCTGCTTCTCCTACAGATAACAGAGTGCTGTGCTTTTTGTTGTTGCTTTTTTTTTTTCTTTTTCTTTATGAAGTTGCTGTCTACACAGACAGTTTCCACTTCAGTTGTTTGTAGGCCATCACCCTACAAGTATTTATGAAGAAAGCCAGGCTGCTGCCAAATAAACAGTCTTTGTATTTTGTATCTGGATAACAAAAGAGTTCTGGCCTCCATCTCTGAAGAAATAACCACATTAACAAACTTAATCAAGATTTGTGAAGCATAAGAACAAAACTTTCTGTAGCAATAAAAAGTTCTTCTGAGTGTAGTTGAACACAGTAGAGGATCCTGCTGCATGAGCCCACAGAACCCATTCTGCAGTGGCAGAAAGCTGTTCTCAAAGAACCGAGTCCTGAAAGTCTTGTGACAGGCATGTAACAGCCTCTATCATAAAAGATTGGCCCTGAAAAGCTGTTTCAGGGTCTCTTACGGACTCTGCCTGGAATCCCTCAGTTGGAAGAAGCAACCTGATTCTATGATATACTGAATTTTAACAGCTGCCAGAATCAAAGTGTAGAAGATTCTGATCCAGGAATTTCCTGAGTGATGTAGGTTTTGGGTGTTGGCAGCACTCACAGGGGGTAAAAGCGTGGGTTTGGGGAAAGCAGGGTGGTAGCTGCCTCTTGGAAATCAGTGGCTGTTTGCAGGGGTCTGGCCAGGAAGGAGTTTCAGGTAGTATTGATGGTCTGTTCATCAATATTTGAGATGTGTGCAAGTGTAAGGAATGGGGGAAAGAAAATATTTTTGAAAAAAAATGCAAGGTTTGAAAAAGCTTTCAATATTAACATTTATAATACAATAGCATAAATAATGTCTGAAATCTCACCTATAACATGAAGTGTGATGAAGACACTACAGAATAACTTTCCAGTATCTTGTTGCTGTATACACCAAACGTTAGATTAGAAGGGTTATCTAATGGCAAAATATATGAGCAAAGTGGGATAATTGATCCTACTAATATCAACTGAACTGCAAAACTTACTATTCTTCCCCTCTTCACAGTCCTCTTAATAGAAAACAGAGTTTGGTTGTTCTCCATTTAAAGTAATAGGTGACATGGTTAGCGATGACACGCATGCCACTCCTTCGAGGAGTCACAAAAGCTCCTTCACCTGTTTGAACTTTGGCAACAAGTTCATTAATTAAGGTTTAGTTCATTACTTAGGGTGTCTTATGCCTGTATTCAAACTATGCAAGCAAGTTAAATGAGAGTCTTTCTACCAGAAGAACATGATGCCAGTTTTAAAAATAAACTCATCTTAGATTCTTGCATAGACCAACAAACCAATTCACAGCTGCATCATGAACTTGGTTCATTCAACAAATACTTACTGAGCATCTACTGTGTACTAAGTGCAGGGACTATTAACTGTGAACAACAGTCTCTGCTCTAATGGAACTCACATTCTTCATGGAAAAAGAAAACTAGAGGTTCACACACTGCACTGGCATCCTATGCCACCAAGAAGTGTCTGCCCTGGCAGAGCTGTGACTTGGCTTTTGTCTTCTTTTTATATTTCAAAATGCATTCTAGAATATTTGCAACAATTAAATCCAAAGACAGTTTTATCTGTCCTAGAACCACTCTCCAAACAAATTATCATTCTGAGTTTTTTTACATTATCTTTTTGTTTCAAATGGCTCCTTTCAAGTCAAAAGGATTCTAAGCTAGAAAAAAACAGTTTTAAGCTATTGGATCTAATTCTGTATATTCATCACTCAAGTTTTGTTCTTTTAAAAAAATGTGTAGGGATCCAAAATTTCAGTTTTGACCATGACATTGGTGCTTAAGCACTCCTATAGTCCCCACTTTCTAAAAGGAACGTTAGGCATTACTTTCTTTTTGTTTGCATTCCTTTTTCTTAACGAGATGTAATTCACATACTATAAAATTTATCCTTGTAGAGCATACAGTTCAGTGGTTTTTAGCATATTCGCAGTCGTGTAACCATCACCACTATCTCATTTCAGAACATTTTCAACATGCCAGAAAGAAACCCCATACCCTTTAGCAGTCTCTCATTCTCCATCTCCTCAGCCCTTGGGAACAACTAACCTGCATCTTATTTCTATGGATTTACCTGTTTCCTGTTTCAGACGTGTCATATGAATGAAATCATACCTTTTTTTTTTTGGTTTTGATTTGACGTCCAATCTAACATTGAACAAATGATCAAACCTCCCAGGTGTTTGCAAAATCAGGGACCTGACAACAGGGCTGATTAGGCTCTGATCTTTCCTTGTCTCTGATTTAACTTTTTGTTCTTTAAGTGTCACTTCTTTTGATAAAATTGGGCAGTGTTTATAACCATCAGCTAATTCTGAACAAGTGCTTGAGATTTTCCTTTTGCCATCTGTGGATTTGATATATTAAGTCTGGGATGCCTGACATCCTGGGACTGGCAACTAGGGTCTGGTTGTTTTGACCTCTCATTTGTTGCTACTTGAGTAGTTTTCCTTGGGATTAAAATTCCTGCTTGAATGTGAGGCTTCCAAAGTGTACCCTAGAAAAGTTAAGATGTTGCTTCACGTGGAGTCTGAGGTTTTGTCTTTTTCATTGGAGTACATTTGGACATAGTGACTACTTATTGAACAGCTTGAGGCTGCTTACTTGCCATGAGAGTAAAATTGCTCAGTAAAGAATAAAAATGCCTTGAGACAGAACCTCTACCACTGGTTAGTCCCAGTTCATAATCTGATAGATTACCTTTCCCATTCAATAAGCTTGAGTTGCAGGTCTCCACATCCTCCAGTAGTTTAAGGAGAGACACTGTGTGCTTACTTGCTTCACATACCAAATGTATCTCTCAGAAGGGAAAAGGATAACCTGCTAGTTTCATATTACCAAATCATGCAATGATTTACATATTAAATAAGCTTCAGAGAATCATGTGTCAAATGGTTTTTAATGTTTTGTTTTGAAATAATTTCAGCCTTACATAAAGATTTCAAATTTAGTATAGAGTTCTATATTCTTACTTAGTTTCCCCTATTATTACTAACATCTTACATTACCATAAGACTTTTGTCAAAATTAAGAAACTAGCATAGGGACATGGTTATTAACTAAACTTCAGACTTTATTTGGGTTTCACTAATGTCCTTTTTATAGTCCAGGATACCACATTGCATTTAGTCATCACATATTCTTAGTGTCCTCTGTCCTTTGACAAGTTTTTTAACCTGTCTTTGTCATGGCCCTGACAATTTTGCAGAGTACTAGTCAGGTATTTTGTAGCAAGACCAGTTTGGGCTTGTCTGGTATTCTTCTCATGATGAACTAGGGTTATGAGTTTTGGGTAAAAATACCACATGTGCCCTTCTTGTTTCATATCAGGATATGTGATACCCACATGACATCACCAGTGATGTTTAACCTTGACTACATGGTTAAGGTGCTGTTTACCACATCTCCACTCTAAAGTTAACTTTTCTTTTTTCACCTTTCTGACTCTAGTCTGTTGGAAGCTAATCACTAAGTCCAGCCCACATTGGGCAAGGGAAGTAAGAGTAGGAATTAAGCTCCACTTCTTTCCTGGAGTAGGGCTTATCTACTCATGATTTGGCATCCTGCAAGGAGATGTGCCTCTTTTGTTTATTTATTCAGTCATGTGTGTGTGTGTGTGTGTGTGTGTGTGTGTGTGTGTGTGCACATACCTATCAGCACAGACTCGTATGTTCATTTAATACTTTGAGTTATAACCCAGAACCACATTAATTTGTTCCTCAGATGGTACCAGCTTTGGCCTTGGGAACCCTTTCACACTGACTCATGTCCATTTGATATACCCTTATCCTTTTGTTTTTAGAGCACTTACTTTGTGACATTATAAGATGCCACAAGCACATCTGGTATTTTCCCTGTCCAAGCCTTAATATCAGCCATTTCTTCAAGAAGTCCTTTTCAGAGAATGGTACTTCAGGACTGTACCATTTTGGAGAATGGTATTTAGAAACCAAGCTCATTACCAAGTGGGGGTGTCTCTGCTTCTAGATCTACCAGTATTTTCAATTCTATTTTTTACAGAAGCTGATATCTTTCCAGGTAAGGAAGCCAATTTCATAAGAACACTAAATATTGCTTCATTTTTTAATATGATAACTCTGGTACCCAAAAGACTCACCCCTACAGATACTCAATCATGCTTTTGTTCATCCTGTATAACAAGAAAAAAAGATTGGAACTATCCCCTTATACTCAATCATGCTTTTGTTCATCCTGTATAACAAGAAAAAAAGATTGGAACTATCCCCTCTTTCTCTTTCCCCACTATGATTATTTAGCTTT